TAAAGCATGGATAAATACCGAATATTATCTGTGTCCAAGGAAGAAAACGCACTGAGTGCAGATTTGTTCGTGTTGAGCAAACCAAACCACCTTGAATATCGGAAAATTGATATCTGACTGTCCGGTAAGTTTACGAATCCATGTAGACTGCTGATAGCCTGTGTTGTTAAAAAACTGAGAATGCAATCGCAGAGCTCTCCTAAGCTTCCAGGAGGAATATGTTATGCCGGAATTCAACGGCATTCACGAAGAAAACAAAATGTTTAAGCAGTAATCGAATCCGCAGGCAACATTAGAACACTTAGTTCCCAAGATCGAGTTTTCTACTAACTTCAGCATTCAATTATAAATTCATTGTTCTCTTTCATACAGCAATCACGAGGTTGTTATTCAGCGCACGTTTACTTCCTTTCGTATATAACACAAACAGCATAACGGTAGCTGATGTTTCGGCAGTATAACACGTAATCTAGCCCCGTATCTCAGAAGTGATTCTTAATGTGGAGTGGTGTACTCGCCAACCATATGCGACTCTCAACGGCTGTTCTTCCTCAGTGGAAGGCAGGTAAAAAAACGATGGGCTTTTCGAGAAGCCGATGATCGTGTAATTATTTTTCAGATTTTCAACTTTCTATTTGTGCTGTTTAAGTGTTTGACCTACTAATTTACGTACCAGTGTGCCCTTTCAGGCTCTGAAGAAGGCGATACCGAAACGTCAGCTACCGTTGTGTTATATGTGTTAAATACGAAAGGAAGTAAACGTGTGCTGAATAACAACCTCGCGATTGCTGTAAGAAAGAGAACAGATTAGAACACCTACGTAGATGCCAGATGTAAGGTAAAAAAAAAAGATGAAAGATGAAAGATGAAGGAAGTGATTGAGACCCATATCTTGTGTGAAAATCGACCATAACAATAAAAGAAAATGAAGGGAAAAAGAGAATTTAGACGTAATCCAATCCGTATCAATTAGTTGGAAAACATTACTGTATTGTACGAAACGAGTGCCTGACCAAGCTCCTATCAGGAGATGATATCAGCTATCACCGAGAGGCAGTATCGTATAGCGTAGAACGACCGGAATGCAAATAGAAGTGAATGGGTCATGAACATGGAAGGAGGAAAATAATAGTTAGACAAAGTGATGAATAGAATGAACTTGTGGTAACATGGTAGTTGAAGGCAATGCAATGCAATGCACATAAGTTCACTTCGATTTATACCTTACTATTTAAAAACCTTTAAAAAACCTTCGCGGTCATTTTGTTGCAAATCACAACACGTTTTTTTTTTGCTCAATCGTTTTTTGTTTTGTTCAGTTACCTAATATTTAGATGAAACAAGACTAGTGAGCTTCAAAAAAGCGAAGAAAAAGAGAAATGAGGTAAGGGAAGATAAGAAGATTTTGAAAAGTGCATGGAAGTATCATAAAACGCGTGTGGCGCAGTGGTCGGAGGCGCTCTGCGACACATACGTGCAATCGATCCCCGCGGCCGTGGCTCACAAAGCCTTCCATTCCTCTGGGATAGGTCAATTGGTAGCAAACTTGTCTGGGAGGATAGCAGCACTGGCTTATGCATCGGCAAGCCACCGTGAGTCATTGTAAAGGCCAGATATGCATTCAATCACCTCCAACGATACTTAATGAAGTCGAAGGCATGGCGCATCCCTTAGGGATTGATCAACGCCGAGAGCTTTATCCTTTATCCTTTATCTTGAGACACTTTAATAGTGCATTAGAAGAGGGAGAACTAATTTTCCTACCTTTACTTTAAAATTAGAAAGTCATTTCTTCTTTCCTATTCAAAATAGTTACGATGTAATGACGAGTACAAAAAATGGTTAAGAAAGAGCTGATAATCCTCCGTTCAACCAAATTTGACCTTCTTCCCAAAAAGTGAAATAAACCAAAATATGCTTAGAAGTGATGGTTTCGTAAGGAAATACTATAGCAGAAGGTTATTAAAAAGTGGTCAAACTGTATTTCTACATAGTTTTAACTTATGTAACACTCCCATTTTGCGTCGACCAGAACAACTAACGTTGATGAAAATGGTCAGAAAAGGAATGGAAGGTAGAATAGTGGTGGAACCGAAAAAGAGGCAAAAAAAAGTGCTGAAACAAAGGCGAATGACAGAAAGATAAAAGAGCAAAGAAGTATCCTGAAATAAGTGGAAGGAAAATGAAAACGACAAAGAAAAGGAAGCAAGAAAAAAAAGTGGTTCCATAATAAGTCGCAGATATCTCATATGCCACTTAAGGAGTGTTATGGAATCATTGGCTTAAATTTATGAATTTCGACCTACTGGATATAGATATCTTCCGAGAGATTTTTCTTATGAACTCCTAGATGAGTTCCAAATGTCCGTTTGCAGAACAGTCGTGGAACTTAGTTGGATTCAGTGACAAGTTCAAACATAGGCTCTCAATTTCCACGGGGTCAGCAAAAGCTTTTTGGCTGAATAGTGGACACTGACTTGATAAAATAGTAAGTTGCTTAAGTAACCGTATAGGTCAAATAATCATACAAATACACTCTAGGATGCTTCGAATGCAGTCGATTGACTGTGAAATGTCCAATACCGAATGTCGAATTAATGACTTTCAGGGAACGTTGATTAACTGTATAGATCAACCGAGTGAAGTGTATTCCTTTGTGCTCATCACTGTTGTACATGGTTAGAATAGTAAAAATTTCTTAAGCATATAATCTCGTAGTACATAATGAAGTAATAGAGCAGCTATCCAGTGTGTATGAATCAGTCTATCGAACGGTAGAGAGAAATATTGAGTATAGTTAGCTCGTATTAACAAACAATGGAAATCCCAGCACAGCTTTCATTCGACAAATGCCGAATTTCTCCCTTTTGCCGCTGATATGTGAGATATCTGTGTCAACGGGTTCCCAGGTCGTCACCACAACCAGCGACACACCATTGAGAGTCACAGCGGTTTGCTTGTCACTTTGCAGTCAGGTTTCTCTCAGTACAACAATAACGCCTCGTAGTGGTTTCTAAACTTCTGAACAAAGATGATGAGCGTCGTCTCAGCTTAGGTGACGCCGCTAACCGTGCGTAACACCTTCTTGTCATGACCAGGCAGTAAACCAATGAAAAGAATCTTCACTGCAATTTCACAGCCGATTCTATAACGATATAGGTTAATCGGTTAATCAATTTAGATCCAGATATGGTCACATAAAATTCCTTTTTCAGCTGATTTTCAGCTTTTCAACCTAAGAGCAAGCACATCTGAACCAATAGTAACCTTTATGAAATAAAAAAGCAGTAGAGAAGCAGCCACTTTTATCAAGAAGCTTTAATATTCTTACAGAGGCAAAGACCTATCTTTTAGGAGGCTATTAGAACCTTCTTTATGCTAAAGTTTGCATGTTAGAAGGCAAGATATTGAAGAAACCAGATTTCGTCCAGCACGATGCCATTATGTCTCTAAATGCGTCGTCATTGTGGACACCTGTATCGCAAAACGTCTCTTTCCCGTTTTTAACTAAGTTAACTATTAACTAGCGGTGCACAAATGAATCTCACATGCATTGAAAACAATAGGGCGGAGTATCTTCTGCAAGCTTGCTAAAGCCTCACAAATATAGGTTATTAAAAAGTTATCGGCACCTATAGGAAAACCTTGGGCGCTTGTGCCGTAGTGGTTGGAGGGGCTCTGCAACACACGCACGGAATCGATCCCCGCGCCCGTGGCTCACCAAGTCTTCCATCTCTCCGAGGTCGTAAAATTGGTACCAGATTTGTCTGGGAGGATAGGAGCACTGGCTCGATACATCAGCAAGCCACCGCTAGTTATTGTAAAGGCCAAATATGCATTCAATCCTCTCCAAACGATACTTAATGAAGTCGAATGCATTGCGCATCCCTCAGGGATTGATGAACGCCGTGAGTTTTATCCTTTATTTAAAAGAAAACGATAGCCACAAGTTTGTTAAGTAACATATTATTTAGTATGTACGTATACTTATTGGACTTGTATATGTGTAGCACGACAGCCAGCAAATTGCCCTTTGCACATGGGTCGTTTATGATCCAGGCCGTGATTTACGTATTTTCAAATATTTTCATTCCGCAAATTCGTCGTTCCTGCTCCCCTTTTTAGCAAAGAATAGGAAAGTTCATGAAAAACTGTACGAAAATAGTCGAAATGGATCTCATCTTATTGGAGTGATTAGGTATAACGGTACTACGTTTCACTCTCGAAGAAGTATTCGGTGGTGCGAATTGCTGATAACGGCCAGTGCGCGTTATCACTTGTCGCTACGTGGTGATACCGAGAAAGTATTAGCCATCTGCAAACGTTAAAAACTGATTAAGACACGCCACTAAGCACGCATAGGATGCAAAAACATAGCGGAGAATATTTTTATGTAAGAGTCGTTAAAATCGCACGGAAAACCAAGACACTGACGCGCAAATTTCTCGAGGCGTTTTGGATATATTCCAAAAATCCGAGAATGAATAGCAGGGAAGAATACCCTGAGATAACGCGTGATCTAGTCTCGTATCTCAGAGCTGATTTTTAATGTGGGGTGGTGCAACGGTCAACCACATGCGACTCTAAGCGGCTGTTCTTCCTTGGTGGAAAACAGATAAAAACTGTGGGTTTTTCGAGAAGTCGGTGATCGTGTAATTATTGTTTGGACTTTCACCTTTCTGCTTGCGTTGTTGAAGCGTTTGACCTAATAAATTACATATTAGTGTAGCCTTCCGGGCTCTGAAGACGGTGATACTGCCGAAACGTCAGCTACCGTTGTGTTGTATGTGTTATATTTGTAAGGAAGTAAAGGTGTGCTGAATAACAACCTGGCGATTGCTTTAAAAAAGAGAACAACATATTTATAATCCAATGTTGAGGTTAATAGAAGGTCGATCTTGAGAACTGTAGTAATTCTGTTCCAGGCTTCCCAGTATATTGGTGAGATCTGCCGCTATCTTCTTGCTCAACCAGTGGTACCAGAGGAGTCGAACCACCAAATGCGGTTGCTCTATGGAAACGGTCTGCGTGCCGAAATTTGGCAACCGTTTGTCGATCGATTTCATGTGAAAATCGGAGAGGTGTACGGATCCACTGAAGGCACTTCGAACCTAGGTCTAACATTCGAAATTGCGTTGTTTACCAATTAAGAACATATAGCTTTTAAACCGTCATTCAACGTCGGTAGCAAAATTGTCAACATGTACTTAAACTGTTGAGCTTGCGGGAGGTTGATCACCTGTCACCTGTATCACCTGTAGTCTCGTTGATCGTCGAGTAACTCGAACGGGCGCCAGCAATTCTTCCATTTTTCCCTGTCGCGTGCAAGGGTAGCCCAGTGGACTCTACTTGCTCTAGGGACTCGTCGAGCATCATATCTTTCTTCAAGGCTTTTTGTGAAGAACTATGACTATCGGGTGGTGGTCTTCCAGCAGTACGTTTGACATCCCGAGGCATCAAGTCACTGACGGCTCTTGTCCATCGATTGTAATCCACACGTATTACGTGTCCGGCCCACATTATCTTCGACTGTTTGTTGTACAGAACTGCATCTTTGGTTTTTGATCGTTGACGCAGGTGGGAGTTTAGAGTCCTTTCCCTTACTTGCGTGATTCCAATAACGCTGAGTGATTTTTCGTCTTGCTTACGTTACTGTGAGGTTTCTGACCTATGCGTTACGGCAGGAGGAATCGTGGAATCGAAAGGGTGGGCACGGAGTCGGGTGTTCTTTGTTCTCTTCACTACATCCTCGATGCTCTTGAAAGCTCCCCAAGCTGCTCGTTTCATTCTGCTCAGCTCTGGAGCTAGGGCGTTCATCACATTGATTTTCTGACCAAGATAGATATAACTGGACCATTCGGAGATATTCGTTCCGTTAAGCGTGAATGGGGCACACGAAACCAATCCGTTCTTCATGAACATCGTTTTTGTGGGATTTAGTCGAAGACCAATCTTTTCAGAGGCTTTATCAAAGTCATCAAGCATGCGTTCCGCTTGGCTAATGTTCGGTGTTATAAAGGACGATGTCATCAGCAAAGGAAAGATGGTGTAACTGCCGACCATCGATTTTCACTCCCATATTATCCCATTCCAATGTTCTCATGACGTTCTGGAGTGTGGCGGTAAATAATTTTGACGAGATGGTATCGCCCTGTCTAACTCCTCTTTTGACGTTAATGTTAATATCGTTGTAGAATGGTGATACCTTAGTTGTGAAATTTTTGTACAGCTCACGAAGAATCTTTATGTACTGATAGGGACTCCTTGACTATCAAGAGCTTCCAAGAGTATTATCTCAACTGAATCAAAGGCCTTCCGTAAATCGATGAAAGACAGAGCGGTCTTTTGTACTCTCGCGATACTTCGATGAGCCTTGTTAACATGTGGATGTGGTCCATCGTACCAAATCCTTTTCGAAGCCCTGCTTGCTCACATGTCTGTCCTAGGTCTAATGCTCTGTAAATCCTGTTTAGGATTCGAGTGAACAGTTTGTAGACGACAGACAGCAAGCACATTGGGCGATAGTTGCCGATATCGTGTTGTTAACCCTTCTTGAACAATAACACGGTCTTGCTCATCTTGCACTGAGTAGGGACCTTGCATTCAGACAGGTAACGTGTGAAGAGCCGAACCAGTGTGTTTACGAGGACTGGCGGAAGGTTCGTCAGGTGTTCTGGTCTTTTCCTGTCCGAACCTGGTGCTATTCGATTTTTAACCGACAAAATGGCAAGTCGGATTTCGAAAGGAGGAACCGGTGGTACAACATATCCATCCTCCTTTATTTCATATGACGGGAAGTGGACGTGGCTATCGAAGAGATCTGAGCAGTATTCGTGAATGATTTTCTCCATTGCCTTTCTGGACGCTGTAACTGTTCTGCCTGGGCGTTGGAGTGCAATCATCTCGGTCTTGTAATTGGTGAAGCTTCGGTGGGCTTTGCGAATGCTGTTTCCAGCCTCTGATGCTTCGACCATTACTGCTGCTCTTCTCTCTAACTTCTCTAACGTGAAGATATTGAATGAGTCGATCGTATTCTTCTTCGATGCTATCGACAACGGCGTCTTCCCCGCAACCGACTAACGAATTGAATAAATCCCAGTTTACGGTGGTTCTGGGACTTCGGTTTTCGAATTTAGCGGCTTTTTCGACTTTCCGCGAGAAGTAGAATCATGCAAGAAAGAAGCCGATGGTCTGATTCTGTGTAGAATTTTGGAACAGCAGCGGCATCGGTAAGGCAAAACCTTCTATTTACAATGATGTGGTCTATTTCGTTATGGTACTCTCCATTGGGAGACTCCCACGTCCAGCACTGAGGATGGGGCTTCTGGAATTGCTAGTTACCATGGATTGTCTTGGTCGCCATGATAAAGCCAGACAGCTGCTCACCCTGTTCATTCCATTTTAATCCATGGGTCCCAATGTGACGTTCTTTAGACGTTCCTCTTGGTCCAGTCTTGGCGTTCAAATGTCCAATGATGATCTTGAAAAATGTATGTCTTCTCTGTAGAACTTCTCCAAGTCCATATAGAACGCCTCGACTTCTTCTTCATCATAGTTTGATGTCGGCACGTAAACGACGAAGATTGCCAAAGCCGGAATTGGTCCACGTCTTTTTAATCGTAAACGTCCGATTCGAGTTGTTAGTTGTTCGAATGAAACAATGTTCATGGAAAAACTCGTGTTGACAAGAACGCCGACGCCGCCGACTCCTCTATTGTCGCATGTTCCGAGGAACAGTTCTTCTCCGGTGTCATAGACGGCATTGAAAGGTTGGTGTCTTCTCGTCTCGGCCAGACTGATGACGTCGTACTTTATCCTTCTTGCTTGCATGAGCAAGTCTTCTATCGAGGACTCGGATGCAAGTGTACGTGCATTGTAGGTACAGATCGTCACCATAGATCTTTGAAATCCAGGTAGCTTCCATTGGCCGTGAGATCTTAGCAACCTTTTCGTACTCGTCCTACGCAATGCTTCGAAATTGGGGGCTCTTTCGGGATCAGGGCAAGGAGGCCTGTTTCTTTTACTGTTTTTAGCTTTTTGATACCCACGTATAACATGCTGGGCTGTTGACGTGGAGGCTGGGTATACTCACAGGTAGCTTGCCAAGCTCTCGCAGAGTGGTCGTGGAACTTATTTATCGGAGGCCACTCCTAACCGCCTCCCATATACTTCCCAGTCACTTGATTGCAGGTTTTTGTACGGATTGATTCGTAGAACACAATCCGCATAAGCAAGAACGCACCCACACACGCATGCATGAATACACCTAGCAAGTACCAGAAAGCTTGTGCCAAATCAGTGTGGCAGAAGAGGGAGTCCATCCCCTGGAACCACCTGCGTCTCAGGAAGCAAAGGTCTTTTTTGGTCCGAGGTTAACCCGCTATCCCCCACCTGGAGATGCGCCACGCAGCCTCGCGACTAACCGGCTGGAAGTCCCTCATATGAGGGATATCCGCCTTTAGGGATGCGCTATGCATTCGACAATGCATATCTGGCCTTTGCAATGACTCGCGGTGCCCTTCTGATGTATCGAGTCAGTGCTGCTGTCTTCGCAGACAAGTCTGATATCAATTTACCGACCGCAGAAGGATGGAAGGCTAGAAGGCTTGGTGGGCCATCGGCGCTGGGTTCGATTCCATGTGTGTGTTGCAGGGCGCCTCTGACCACGGGGCCACACGCGTAAAGTTGATAAACACATTTATTCGGCTGAGGTTTCTATGTCTTCGTCTTCATCAAAGCTGGTGACCCGAGTCGACGGTCCACTGTTGTTCGCTCTTCCACTCGAATCGTCCGCTCAGATGAGGACGAAGACTTCGAAACTTTAGCCGAATAAATGTATTTGTCAACCTCCTCCAGGCCCAACAATTTAAATACATGGTAGAAAATATAACCAAAGTCGCTAGGGACATATTCTTTGATGTATTCATAAGTAAGAAAAATAGAGCCCTCGGTATTGATCAATCGCTGAGGTGCGCCGTGCATTCGACTTCATTAAGCATCGTTGGAGGTATCTGAGTGCATATCTGGCCTTTACAATAACTCGCGGTGGCCTACTGATCTATCGACTCAGTGCTTCTATCCTCCCAGAGAAGTCTGGTATAGTTTGCCGACCCCGGAGGGATGGAAGGCTTGGTGAGCCACGGGCACGGGAGTCTATCCCAGGTGTGTGTTACAGGGCGCCTCTGACCACTGCGCCACACGCGCCCAAGTTCCTAAGTAAATGCATGGAAATTTGTTGTTATTTGTATATGATTCAATCCTATTAAATAGTAAATTTTAACATATGAAATTCGGAAGCAATGTAGGGTAGAAGTTGAAAATATGTCAAGTTGAAAAACTTCTTTGTGTAAAGTTGAATGAAATACATTGCAGTGAACATTGATGGTCATGTGGGTGCATGTGGGTTTTTGCCGATCTCACCTCTTACTAAGAAAATGCATCCGGTGCGTTTGATTCGAGTCGACGATCGAACAGGAGAAGTTGTCCGATCGGAATCCGGGCTTTGCATTGCGTGCAATCCAGGTTGTCCCGATTAGTCGTGTACTCAACACAATTTTTTTGGCCGGTTGTTTCCACTTTCTGCATAAAATCTCACAATCTGATTGGAAGTGACCATGTAATGGAATAATACAGGATGCTGTCCTCTTCAGGTGAGAGTGGAGCGATGGTTTCTACGATTCGAAAAAACAACCCGTTGTTGCAATTCGAAGGGTACCTAAACAAGTCGGAAACAAATAAGAAGATCATTAGGGATGTATTCACTAAAGGAGACAGCTGCTTCGTGTCTGGTACGTTGGCTTATTGATCTGTGCAGTCTCCAAAACCTATATTATAGACGTTGTAATGATAGTGTACGACGATTATTATCTATTACCCATACCGGATTATAAGGGAAAATGCGTAGCAACAATACGGCAAAAACATTTCACGCCCTTATAGCGGAAGACATTTCCACAAAAGGTAGTCGCTTCATAGATATTACATAGGTATTTGCCCTGATATATGATGGATAAATGGGCCCGTGTGGCGCAGTGGTCGGAGGGTCCCTGCAATACGCATGGGATCGATCTCCGCGCCCATGGCCAACCAGGCCTTCCATCCCACCGTAGTCAGCAAATTCGTACCAAACTTGTCTGGGTGGAGAGCAGCACTAGCTCGATATATTGCTGGACTTGCGCGAGTAATGCATTATTAAGGCCACATATCCATTCTATCACCTCCAGCGGTGAAGTTGAATGCATGGCGCATAGCGTCCCTCAGAGAGTGATCAGCGCTGAGAGCCTTAGAACTTCAGTCAGACGGTGGTGCGCCTCCGCCTCCCAAGAATTGTGCTGACGCTTGCCAAATTTCCATTGGTTCTTTCGATGTCCCCGTTAAATGATTCTATCTATGTGTGCAGGCGTCTTCTTCGCGTATCACTTCGTAAACTGTATTCAGCTGTGTTTAGATTGACTTGGGCTACAAGGAAAGCATACTGTATGGATACCGGACCTTAGAAGGATGAGGATATCTTCGGTAGAGCTTCTCATACGAATTTCAAGTTAATGGTTCTGCGTTTTCATACCAGTTGGTCGGCTTTGTTATTTACTGTATTGTGGGGGTAAATATCTTTGGCAAGGTGTGTCTCTGCCGCACTCTTTCGCTATCAGAATTATGAGAGGCCCTATTTCTGATGCATTATTGACGGAACTATGTTAACGTTCTCATAGGGAATCGATCAACTCCTTCTTCACAGAGTGCTGATTGCTGAAGCAGTCAAGTTAGGAATTTTCGTATGGATCGAGTTTAGTACTTGCTCGAGAACCACTCGTGGAATAGTATTCTTTTCGACGCTATCAAATCGTTTTTGGCTTCTGATTGGAAACAGGATTCAAAAAAGAATATTTTTGTTTTTTGTGTTTGTTTTGTGTATACAAAGCACATTTCTTTGGTCTGGTAATAGTTTGAATTAGTTCCACAAAGCTAAGTCCTTGATGGTATCCTGTCTTATCAATAGGTCGTCGTTCATTCATTATCTTTAATACACGCAATGTGAAGGAAGATTTACGAAGAATTCGTGTAGTTCGTGAATTCCAGATCAGAGTATAGATCTTGCCTCCTATAGTGCTGTGTCTCTTTTCGTGCCCTTGGTCATAATTCGACATTCATAGAGCAAATCCGGAGTAGCATTTTTTCAAACAAGAATTTTAGGGTCTGGAGTGGATACTGAGGAATAGAAAAGGCTGGAGTAAGATTACTTGTAGGGATTTAGTCTCGTAATTCCCAAAGACCATGTTTCTCTTGAACGATCACATGGAATTTGGCCAAGATTTGAACATAGAATGGCTTTAGAGCGAAACTAAATTTAAAGTCAATACCAGTATGGGTCACTTCGGGATTTTTTGCTGACGTTGTTTCACTGGCTGACGTTGTATAGGGAAGCTCGGGCTGTGGGCATGAAGCTAGTTAATATTTTTGTCAATTTGGCTCTTTCTGGAAAGCCGGATAAGACCTAAGTCGTCATAAGACGTGGTTACTATCCTTTTCGACTGTATATGGATTAACGCATAACACTCGGTGTAGACACTATAATGTCCATACATGTTTCGACCAGGGGACAGTATGGACACTATAGTGTCCATTTTCGGTTTGGTGATTTCCAAAAATCTTTTACCGTACTATCTATATTCATTCGATTGCTGGACGAAACAGGAGCAAAAGAGAGAGACGAGAAAAACTATTCTCTGCACTTAATGGTTTACAAAAGAAACCTTTTTTCGAACAAGTCCATTGACCGGTAATTTGACTAACAATTTCAGTAACTGCAATTCCATCTTAACCACAATGGTTACTTCGCATGGAATGAGAGGTTATTAGAAAGGAAAACACTGAAATCGACTCATCATAGGGTGCAAAGTACTTCCAAGTGCTGATAGAATTGTATTTGCCCAACGACCATCGTAATACGCACTAAACAGTAACACACATATAATTCAAACGATAGAGCAAAGTCCTTTCTACAATTCTGTCATCTCCATAGCCCCTAAAGCCCTCTAGTTACTGAAAAATAATTTTTTACTTCCAAAAACCATAAAATCAGTAGCGGACCAAGAATTGTTGGTACTCCTCCATTTGCAGAGCCACGCTAGGCTCGTCCGTTATGGGTTGAAATACAACAGCCCTTCGCCATGTAAGGTAGGAAGCCTTAGCAAACTGTGTGACTTTTTTGTACATTGAATCTTTTCTGTCTCCAAACTTAATTCACAAACAAGTAAAGCACCCTTTCTTCACGAGAATTTTCTTGGAATTCCATTTATAGGTGACTTATTGTACTGGGATCGTCTCGGTTATGTTTACTTCAAAGACCGAACTGGTGACACATTTCGATGGAAGGGCGAGAATGTGAGCACAACAGAAGTGGAGGCGATTTTGCATCCAGAGAAGGGTGTCGCTGATGCAACTGTTTACGGAGTCACAGTACCACGTGAGTTTCAAAGTTATGATATGTATCATTCCCAGATTTGGAAATTTCATTATGAGATTCGCAAAAAGGACCTCCACGTGTAGTTCTAGCTAACTCACGCCTTTTATCAAGGAATAGTGGAGAAGTGAAAGATTTTTCACTTGAGTGGTGTGTTGCTGGTTTGTTAATACTTTTTTCTAATGTCTCAAGAGATCTGTTACAGGACGTATTTAAGTCGTTATTAATTATTATTAATTAGTTAATTAATTAATTAACACGCTTAACATTAGTTGGTTTTCACAACACGAATGTTGAACATATTCTCAGCATAGGTGACCTAGAAGATCAAAAGAGATTGGAAATTAACCCTTTTTTTCTCTTCGTTATCTCGAAATTGTAACCAGCCACCGTAGCGCATTAAGCCATTGTTAAGCCATTAGGGTTTTCCATATATAAGACTAAACTATCTGTTTCATCCAGTCTTAACTGGATTACTTCTATACATTAAGTTTTCTCAAGTCCATATAATACTTCCATTTATACAAAATCTACGGATGGTTTAGCGTTTTACCTGTTGTGTCTAAATGAAATGCTTCTGCTCACTACTGTCACCTCATTATTGAGAAATATGGATAGTGGACATGGTGATTGAATGCATATCTGGCCTTTGCAATGACTCGCTGTGGCCTACCGATATACTGAGCCAGTGCTGCTATCCTCCTAGACAAGTCTGGTACCAATTTACTGACCCCGAGGGATGGAAGGCTGGAAGGCTTGGTGGACCAGGGGCGCTGGGATCGATTCCATGTGTGCGCTGCAGGGCGCCTCCGACCACTGCGCCACACGGGCCCTTTATACATATATATATGTATGCATATATACGTATATATATATATATATATGAAAATACCGGTGTATGTCGAAGAATTTTAGAATCCTCCTTTCTGGTTACTCTTATTTTACTGTAGAAATACCCCACAGCTTTAATAGAAATCTTCGAAGCGTTACTTGTTGTATTTTTAGTTGGTCAGATCGAAAATGGCAAGGTTTTACTTTTTCCAAAATTTCCAAATAAATTGAATGTAAATTTAAAAGGCTATAAGTAGGCTTATCCCGCAACTTTTCTAATCGTCATTTTCTTCACTTCTTTAGAAAGCATAGAAATCCACATCATGTGCTATAAACTATAACAAAAAGACAACTTTGAATCCACCTCTTTATTTGCTTTTGACCTTTTTAATTTGGCGTACTGACATGAAAGTCTGACTGATATAGGTCGAGAAGGTCGTGCAGGAATGGCAGCAATTGTTCGGACGAGTGACAGTAATGCTACAAGTGACGACGAATTCATTGAGAGAATTGGAAGCCGTTTAGCAGCCAGCTTAGCACCATACGCATTGCCACAGTTCATTCGCCTTTGCCAGGATGTTGATCGGACAGGTAACTCCTTTGTCATTTTCCTTCGTACCTTCTGTCTAATTCAGAAATTTTCGGTGAATGAGCCAGATCTTGAGTATGAATCCAGAGCGACTATGAGCAGATTTTATCTCCAAGGGTTAATTTGTTTTTTAATTCACTGTCATGTTTTACTCTAGTTAATTTCAAAATTTACCCCACAGTGTTCATGGGATTAGTCGAAAACCGTGGACACTATTTGATGGGGAAGTCCTTTTCGATTAGCTCAAAAACGACAGTTCTTTTTCTCAGGGGTGAAAAGAATATCCCTGTATTGAATGACCAAACTAGGACTAACAGTCTCACCATTGACTACTCTGAGCGAACTCAACCTCATCCTGAAAGTACAGGATTCGGGAATACTAGACATTCATTTTGTTCATCTTGTTAAAACTATGTTTATAGGGACGTTCAAATTGGTTAAAACGAATCTGCAAAAACTCGGCTACAAGTTAGACATACCGGACAATAAAGTGTACATTTACAACACCAAACTACAATGTTATGAACGTTTAACCGAGGACAGCGTCAGCAAATTACAGCTCGGAATGTACCCACTGTAGTCTACGTAGCACCTACCCAAAAGTTGCAGAACTTTTCTCGATTGCAGCATTTCTTTGCTCAAATGATGCAGTTTACGACATATAAGACTTCTCATCTCTTTGTTAACATGTCAGATTGTTTTCTTTCTCTTCAAATAGCACATCCGAAAGAAATTTTAGTGCCTTAGTTATCTACTGGTTAGCACAAAAGCTCAGAGATAATTCTTGCCTATAAATTATTGTTGTGACTGTTGCTTTGCTTTACGTATTCTGCCATGAGTATGCCATTCATTTGATCAACCAATTCCTTTTTTAACACTTCAAGCCACAACCCTGTGGAGCTTCTTTGTTTGACCTAGTCTTCAAGTAGATGAATATATTTGTAAATGTCGATATTTTATCCATAAAATGCATTTATTAATTGAGAAAAACTTTATGGCTGAGGAAAACTATATCGGACTGCAGGGTATCTCGTCGACCATTCAAATAATACCATCCTTGAGATTTGCAGGCAGAGCTTGTTCTGAAATCCCTACTTTCCTGGCTTTGAAAAGACAAAACGGAAAAAGTCAAAGCGTTAATGATAGAATATGGGAGCATAACTCGTAATAACTAAAGCATTATTACATTATTTTTCTCAAGGAAGAATTAAAGGGCTCTCATAAGACCTTAAATAATAAATAATGAATGTTACCTACCAATTTGTTTAGGGTACTCCAGATGTAGATTCTCCATTATTTGTACAAATTCGTCCTCAGACTTTGTTAATCTTGGGTTGAGACGTTTCTCTTCATCGATCTAGAATTTCATATAGCTCTCAAACAGTTGGTGTTGGCAAGCATGAGTTAATGTAAATCTCCTCTTTTTAGCCAGAACAGCTTATGAGTCATCTTAATTAACATCCGGTGGGTTTGTCTTGTTTTTAGGATCTAACTAGTTATTCGTCCACTAAGTTCTTGTTGTGTTGTAGAAACATTTTCCCTAACAGGAAATCCTTTCATGGGTTATCTCGTATGTTACTCTGGAGGTCGTTTCTTTTTTTTTAAACGCCAGAGTTAATATTGAGTTGTTAACTTTCATTCGTTTACAATTAACGTTTGAACACAAGATAATGGAGTTACAAACCAATAAACCCAAAAATCCTGAATCCTTATGTCGCTTTCAACAAAATTAGTTATTGCTTTAATGCTGGATAGGTCTCTCAAAAACACTATCGATGTGTATGGAAAAGGATACATTTATGAAAAGGAATATATTAACGCAGAAAACAGCGAGGTGTTCACAGAACCGATTTTTATAAGAATGATGGCCCATTACTACAGATTGTCGGGAACTTTCACAGCGGGCTCTTGGAAGTCATTCAAAAGGTAACCAACAAAATTCTTATGAATTCGCTGAATGGATCAATAGGTGCTAAGAATGGTGCACAATCGCTTCAATTAAACTGTACACATTCATAAACTCAAGTCACTTGCTCAATATCAAGTGTTGAGAACCTCAAAGAAAGAAGGAACATATGAATTCTCCACATACTGATGTTTGAAGGAGTCCGCTGTAATTGTGGCCAACATATACCATAAAATCATCTGGAAGTGTGAAAATTTTTTCCCATACCGAACGGTACAATGTGCGAGGGTTTCCTAAAATGCATGTTTTCTATGCCAGTTCCCATTCAAGAAAAGCAAGTACTGCTGAACACTGCTAGTCCATTGAACATGTCTTGTTCAAAAATTGGCCTCCATCAAAATATCATTGAAAATACTACATATATGTTCAATGAAGCTGAGATATTGTCAAAACTCCGGACCGCAGGTGTCTGCGGTGGGGAAAGAACGCGATATTGTCCTTTCCAGGGAGTAACGCGTTCACCACCACACCATGCGGGTCGTTCACCACTACGACTAGCTGAGAGACAGGTGAACGAGGCATTCCTCCCTGCGGTTCATTTTCAGATTCCTGGAATTAATCCAGAAGGCCTCGAGAATTTTGCGCGCTTGTGTTCTCGATTCATGCGCGAGGATCGTAACACCTACTTCAAAATCTTCTCCGTTATGTTTCTGCGTCCTATGCATGCCTAGTGGAATATTTGGTTTACGTTTGCCGACTAGGTGTTCTTTTATACGGATGCAGAGTGGTCTACCCGTTTCGCCAACATATTCCTCACCACACGCTTTACAAGAGATCAGATAGATTCTACCCGAACTCCTGCAGTGACCGTCTCTACCATTGGGGCAAATTATGCAATTCTGCGTTCCACATAGACGGTCGTATAGGCAGTTACGAACTAGCTGGCGCCTTAGATTATTCGGTGGTACTTCGATTATAATGTGTATAATTTGATGTATTATGTGATGCAGCGCACGTGTGGCGCAGTGGCCGGAGGCGCCCTACAACACACGTGGAGCCGATCCCCGCGCTGGTGGCCCACCTTTCATCTCTTTGGGGTTGGAAAATTGTTACCAGACTTGTCTGGGAGGATAGCAGCACTGGCTCGATACATCAGCAAGCCACCGAGAGTTATTGTAAAGGCCAGATATGCATTCAGTCACCTCCAACGATACTTAATGGAGTCGGGTAGGAGGCGTCTTAGATTACTCGGTGGTATTTCAATTATCGTTACCGAATTCTCTAAACCGGCTCTTCTTGAACAGCGTTTTATAGCTGCACTTATTTCATTTAAAATGAAGGGAAGGACGAATGGAACCTTATTGCCGCCAGAGTTACTGTTGGGGAGACTGTAGTTTCCTCTACACCCTATCCCGAGCTACAGTTTCGTAGCCATTATAAACGGCTGTTTGCCGCGCCACGTTCCAGGACTCCTCTCCTGCTCTCTTCCTATGCACACGCTGCTAGCTGTTCGAAACGTTTCTCACAATCGCCCTTTTGTAGACTACAGTCAGCTTGACCTTTCCAGGCTCTGAGGAAGACGAAATCCGCAGAAACGTCAGCTTGCACGTAAATAAAGAAATAAAATAACACCTCATGTTTGCTAAACAGAAGTAGAAAGAATTACGAGTAGTCTTTAAAGAATGCTACGTGTATTAAAGTCTCTTAGTGTTTTTAAGGTCGTTTGAGCTTTCCTCTGGTTTAAGAGTCGTCTAAAATCCAAGTATTCGAAAAACTGAGGACGGTTTTAGAATCCTTTATGCAAGCAGAGTATATAGCGTTGTGCACCCCAGTTCTTGGTTTGCTTCACTTCTTGTTATCTTTTTTACATCAGTTTTTTAAATTGAATCTCACCAATTCTTTAGGTGTCGAAGTTCTCCAGAAGCTAACCTTGTTGAAAATCTGTTCTTCCACAGGCTCTTATTAGTAGCGCATCACCAGTGAACACCATTCGATGAGCATGGGAAACAAAGCTGACGCAGCCTAAAACCAAATACCATTAAGAATGATAGCTCCCAAATTATTTTGCCATACTGTTCTTTGCACAAACGTTTCTCCTCTTCTATCATTTCCCCCACAGCACTGTTGTTCTACATCCACTTTAGGGAACAAAGCCGTCTAGATCGATAAAACTGGAGAGTACCGTCTGTATGTCCAGGTGTGGTGCGCACTTCAAGGCTCTCATGACCAAATTTGATCTTATCACCGTCTTTGACAAAATGATCAGCTTTGCCGCCTGAATGCACCGATAACACCGATTTCATACCAGGAAATGCCTAAATAAATGTATAGCGTTTGGTTGAAATAGAATGAGGACCATCAAAGACTTTATATTTATCTAACCTCTGGCTTTCCTTTACTGTTTTTCGCCATTCACCATTTACTATGACTTTTCAGGCAATGTAACATCTTTTCTAAGAAAAAAGAAACCTAGTCCGTTGGTTTCTCAGTTACTACTTGCGAAGTCTAGTGTGGCTAGATGATCTAACTCACAAAAATCCCAACACCTTGTTGGTCTAGTGATTAATAGCTCAAAATGTACTCATCTGCTTATCATATACACAGAAAAGCGAACACTCAACTGGAACAGGACAACAGGAAAAGGGAAAAGGGAAAAGATCACCGATAAAAAAAAGCATTTAAATCTTACGCTTTTTAAAACACCAGTGCCTGTGATGTGGTCAGCGTGCACATGGGTATTCAGTCCGTAGATTAAATCCAAATGGAGATCTCGAATAATCTGAAAACTTCACGTAAAAACTAAATACAGCGAAACACCACTCACACATATCGGGATACCAAACAACAATTACTTCTTATCAAGAATAAATGGAAGAGGGACCATGTTCTCTTGCTTCCAACAACTTGGAAAAGAGTGACCCTCCATCTCGCTGATGAAGAATAACTAATTTTGATTTCACCAAACAATCTCACAGGTTTTGAAAAAGGATAATAAAAGTAAAATAAAAGACAAAGCTCTCGGAGTTGATCAATCCCTAAGGGATGCGCCATGCATCTGACTTCACTAACTATCGATGGAGGTGAATGAATGCAAATCTGGCCTTTACGATAACTCGCGGTGGCCAACCAATGTATCGAACCAGTGCTGCTATCCTCCCAAATAAGTCTGGTATCAATCTGCCGACCCCGGAGAGGTGGAAGGATACGTGATCCTTGAGCGCGAAGATCGATCCCATGTGCATTGCAGGGCGCCTCCAACTACTTCGCCATACGCGCCGTATAATAACAGTAAGCAACTGAAAACCTCTAACCTGAGCATCTCTATGAGCTGTTTCCATGACGGGATCGATAATGACGGCTTTCCTCGTGGAACCACATCCCAGAATGTAGGTATAGGTAGAAGAGGCGTATTCTATCATCTACATTTTCCAAACAAACATTTAAAAGTGGGAAGTTAAAATGAAATGATCGATTTGACCTAATGACACCAACCTGCCGGAAGATAAGAGAATGGGCGCGCATCGTCTTTTCAGAAGCAACTGAAAAAATGAAGTAAGGAGAAAATGAAGCAGGACGGACTTTTTAAGTTCTTAGAAACGGTGATGTACAAAGCAATGAACTCCAATGAACAGTGCTCTTCTGACTATCACACTTTTTAACGAGGAACTAACTGGTAATTTTGATACAAACAGGAAGAAAACAAGTAAGAGTGCACTTAGACATTGAATGACTAGGGTTGTCCGAACGGACTAAGAAAGAGCAGAAATGCAAATATTCCTTAACAAAACCCTCATGTTCCTGATATTTGAGTCTTTGAAACCACGATGTCATGGCTTCATGAACTTTTTAGAAGCTAAGCCTTTCGAAAGACCGTAAATGTAACCCCCGTCATTTAGTGATTTGATCAGCGATCAGGACATAAAACTACCATTAGTTAAACAGCGAAAGGAATGAATAGCACATAAATACAATATGCCTCCAAGAATCAAAACATATCTTTAGCCCTGGGACAAAGGACAATTGGTTTAGTCTTTGATGATGCTCATAGCACTAAGGAACATGCAAAAGTACGCGATATAGCAAAAAGATCGAAAGTAAAACCGATCTGCTGATTAAGAAGGTTCGGAGGGAATCCTTAGAAAAACAAGACGTTGATAAACAACTTGCGGGGCCACCGCCTACAACGAAACCAGTCGTCCTGGCGCGAAATCGATCGAATCATGTGTGCCATTACAGTCGAAGCTACGGCGACAACATTGAAGCATCCTTCTCTTCCGGAATTTATCGTAACTAATTGAATTATCTCAATGATTCTACCCTCACTTCTATATGTCAGATAGTCGAAAGTAAAGTGGGCCGGTCACAACACGTTTGAAGGACAACCGATGGTCAAGAGCTGTTAATGACTGGATTCCTCTCGGGATGTCAAACGTACTGCAGAAAGGACACCGATGCGATGGTCAGAGTTTTCATGAGAACCCTAGAACAACGCTCAAAGAGTCCCTATAATGAGCAAATTCCACTGGGTACTTATGCACGCGACAGTGAGAAACAGAAGATTGACTGACCGGATGGGTGATGATATAAAATCAAACACTATTCAGGGAAAATGAATTCCGATCGATTTCGAGAAGAAAAGTCTTGCGGAAAGATTGGCTTATGATTGAACCTCCTTTTGAAGAAATCTATGCTGATAGAAAACGCATGGAGACCGATTGCTTCATCTAAGTTCAGTGAAAAAGTACCTTTGGATGTCACCGTTTGGTCTATCTGTGTTGAGTGCCAAAACCACGACAGAAACCCTGCACAGACGAATAATCTGATATAAAGCACATTAAAAGTCCAAGGAAGATAAACAGATAAGGGATATTTACGAAGACTTACAATGAAGAGATTTCTAAATGGAAATGAAGCTAGCAGATAGTTCAAACGAAAATCGTTTAAGATTAGCTTATAATCAGTAGTGTTCCACCGAAGACCAACGAATGTATTTTGAGAGCGAACGCAAATTTTATGGGTGCGTATAGCGCATCCGTTGACATGCTCTGCGATAAACACTTGGCCCTTGGTTCGGTCACTGGACCAGGCGAAGGCAAGTTCTCCATTATTTCCGTACTAACCCGATCTGGAAGAATAAGGATGCAGATTTCATACATTGGTGGACAACTGCAAATCATTGTATATACGAGCCAGAGATGTATTTAATCACCTCTAACAATGCTTAGTGAAATCAAATGCATGGAGACCTCTCTGGGATTGATCACTGCTGGGAGCTTCATCCTTTCTTCTTTTATTTAGTTTTGTGGGAGGCGTTTATAAAAAAAGCATTTGTTCATCAACAGCTTGTAGAAGATTCATCACCGTGAAGGCAACACCTATGTTATAAATCCAGCAAGCAGACGAAACTCTCTAGAACTTTCGTAACATTCCGCATTAAGAAACGGTGTGAGTCCCTGAACACATTGATATTTTGCTGGCACGGAAAACTTTTCCTTTGGTGTTACAGCTTTTCTTGATCATTATGATAGCGAGCAATCTAGAAAGAGAGGTTTCCTTCACTATCAGTTCTATCGAGCCGTTTTCGATAATTGGTACGGACTTCGATTTCACTAAATGCTCAGATAAGATTGTAGTACTTCTGAGAAAAGTCATCCATTATATCGAAATGTTTTGATGGATAAAATGGAAACAAAACATAATACAGTACTTACTTGGATACTTGGAGGGCTTGTCGCCATGATGGCCCTGGCTCTAGTGCAATTTCCATTCATTTCTCTCTCGCTCGATCGTCGTCCATGGTTGTGGTCTGCCTCCAACGTGGTGACGATCGCTATGTCTATTCCGTAATCTTGAAATCGTTGCCATATGCGAGTACGTACAGACGGTTGACGTTAGTCACGAACACGCCCACCTATTCTTTAAGTAGTTTTCCAAAAGAACACGTCCATTCTTTTCGGTTTCGCCTAGAGCTAGGGCTCTAGGAGACGCCTGCATTCTCTTAGAGTCCACTTCGCTGTTATTTTCGTCTATTTGTCATCTGTTCTTCTCATTATGTGACCGGTCTATCCGTGTTTCGCTATTGATGTATGTTCTCCAGGATCTCAAAACTGACATGAACATTCCGGCTAGACGTTGTTAGTACCGGCTAAATTTCAGAAGACTTCGTTCAAGGAGTCTGTGGGTAGTGCGCAGTATTCCTAACGTGGTTGAGGTATTAGGCCATGTTTTGTAACATAAGACAGTGCTGGAAAGACTATCGAATCGAAAAGGTGAGCGAGGAGGTGTGTGGGTCCGCTATTTGGTCGGTGACTTGTTTGAGTGGTCTGAATGCGGCTTATGCTGCTTCCTTTCTTCTGTCTAATTCCTAATTCCTCCTTCATATTGTTCTCCACCTTCATTGAACGTCCAGAGTACACGTATGAGGAGGTTTCTGCACTCTGAGAATCACCCAGTTTAATCTGGTCACATTCGCACCATGGGTTCTTCGTGAACTGGGTTTTCGTCCTATTTATGCGCAACCTAACCTTTTTTCCCTGCTTCGTTGAGTTTCCTGGTCATCGTCTTTGTTTCACTGGTACTCCTCAAAAACATGACGATGTCATCTGCAATACGATGATTTGGTAGGAATGTCCCATCGATATGTATGCCGTCCACAAATCTGCATCATAGAGGGATCTCATGCCGGTTAGTGGTGAGACAACGTGGCACGTCACCAGGCGGCGGATACAGGTTAAACTTGGACCAAAAGCGAGCTTTGCTTCTCTGAGATGCAAATGGATCCAGGGCACGGACTCGCTGTTTCTGCTGCGCTGATTTGGCACAAACTTGCATTTACGGGGACGTATTCATGTGTGAGTGCGCGGGTGTGTTCTGTTTTATGTGGCTCGTTTTCTGCGAATTAGTTCGGCCAAAAGCCTACAACCAAGCTATAGGGAAGTATATGGGAGGTAGTTAGAAGTCGTCTCCAACAAATAAGCTTCCCCGTCCGCTCTTTTAAAGACCGGCATGCTACCCGTAGGTATGCTCATCACCAAGTTCAGAGTTCAGCATGGGATACGTGGGTATCAACGGCTAAACAGTAAAATAGGGGCCTCATTTCCCTGATCCCCAAAGCGGCCCCGACACAGAAGTGCTGAGTAGAACGAATTCGGAGAGACTGCTAAAATCTCAGGGCCATTCTAGGCTGCTTAAGTCGGAAATTACTAGAGTGACGATCTGTACCTAGAATGCGCGTTCAATTGTCCTTCTCATGTTAATTCTCATGCCTCGGGATGTTAAACGTACTGCAGGAAGACCACCGACCCGATTGCCATAGTTCTTCACAAAAGGCCTTGAAGAAAGATATGATGGTGAACCAGTCTCTGGAACGAACAGAACCCACTAGGCTGCTGTTGCACGCGACATAGAGGAATGGAATGTTCACTGGAGCTCGCTCGAGTGAACGATATACAGGTGAAATGTGTGTCCACCTCGTCCTAATTATGTGACTTCATCATTCACTATAGTGTGTCAGTAAACGGCATTGGCGATACTTTGTCACCTTGCTGCACCTTTTTTGTGTGGTGAGCTGTCGGTGAAAAAGCTGTATGCTTGTGCTGCAGTTCCGATGATGCCTGTAATTTTTCGTATATAGAACGGTTCCATTCCTTGGGAAAAGCACTGAATGCATTCGATTCGACGCTGTCAAGAGCTGTTTGGTAGTCGATAATGGTTAGGGGGAAGATGGTGTTCCCCGGCAGATTTCTATGACCAGTGGTACGGTTTGAATGTGGTCTATGCAGCAGAATCCCTGTTGGAACCACCTTGCCCAAATGATTATGCTTCATCCAAGGCATTCGATGTCTGCAAAAGGTTAATCCCCATGAGCAGCTTCTAGAGTACACTCAAGAAGCATACTGGACGGTGATTACGAAAATCCCTTCGGTCAACTTTCTTGGATATGATGCAAGGTCATGTACTGGTCTAGGATTTTCTTCTTCTGAACGTAAGATGTCATATGGGCTGTGAAGAGTACATATACTTCCTAACTTCCAGCTCTCAGGAAGTCAGTGGTGATATTATCAGATCCTAGAGCTGTGTCCCTCTCCATACTTTATATCGCAACTCGAATTTCAGACGGTAGGATCCCGGGCTAGTTTTCACCAATGAGATTTCGGGGTCCGAGATAGGGATTGTGTGACCGGAAAGATTGGTATAGAACCCTTCCATTATCAGTTCCATACCATGGCGACATTTAGTGATAATCCCATCTGTACTCGTCAGGGTGGATAACTGAACATTACCGCCACAAAAATCTATTCGGCACGTCTTCAGACTGGATCGCTTTTAGGTTGCTTCCAATAACTTTTCTGCCTGTGACAATGTTAGCCGACGATGACAGTTCTACCTTTTTATTTTCTGCCTACTATAATTTCGCGGCAGGGTACTAAGCGAAATACAACCACAACGTTGCTGAGATATTTGCAAAACTCTGGACCGCAGGTGTCTATGGTGGGGAACGAACGCACTATTGTCTTTTCCGGGGAGTAACGTGTTCACCACCACACCATGCGGGTCCTTCGTTTCACCTGCCTCTCAGCTTGTTCTATTGATCACTGTCATCAGCAATCACCCATCAACGGGATTGATCTGCGGAGCCCAAATCGGCATTGAACCCAGCTAAGCTGAGGCCATAGTTGAAATTTACAATGTTGACTTTTTATTTGCTGTTTTTTACATATCAATAGAACTAGCTGAGAGACAGGCGAAACGAAGAACCCGTATGGTGTGGTAGGGAACGCGTTACTCACCGGAAAGTACAATAGCGAGTTTGCTGCCCACCGTAGACACCGGCGGTCCGGAGTTTTGCAAATATCTCAGCATCATTGTGGTTGTTTCACGAATAATACCCTGCCGTGAAGACTTGTAAAAGGCAGTAAATAAAAGTTATCATTGGAAATCTATCTTAGCTCATAATAAACGTTGTCAATTACAATAGAAATATTTCGAACCTACAGATCCTTGCCAATCAGAAACAAAGTCTTCCTACCAGACTTGAAGGACTTCTCATTTTCTGGAGCTCATAACATATATTTCTTCCATCATTTTATGGTTCAAGGCTCATATTTCGAAAGCTAAAGCAAATGAATAAGAGGAATTCTACCCAGCATAATTTTTCTTCACGCAAGCTGCGATTGCGTGGGAAGTTCCAAAATCCGAGTTCCGCTTTCGATTTCCCCAAAATTGTACTTTTAACAAATGTAAAATTGGAAGGGTGATTTACTAGAATGTACATTACATAGACTTAAGGAGACAAAGCAGGACCTCTTATATAAGATGGCTAAGTCATTTAATTCTGAAATCTTTTAGTTTTCTAAAAACTATCGAAAGTTGCTGAAAAACTAGCTTCATCGCGGAAAGCTTGTTTCTGGAGAACTACTGCCAATGAGGGCGCCGGTAGAGTAGCGAAGTGATCCCGTTTATTACGCGGATGCCCCAACCTATACAGACGCTGGCTTCACCACAAATCAGGCCGACAACGCCCCTTCCCCCCATCTTCCGAGGTCTCTAAATTGGTGTCACACTTCTCTGAAACAAGCTAACTTTCCCTAGTCCACATTGGAACGCAGTGTGATGTCTGTGATGTCGACTCATATAACAGTCAAATACTCAGATACTTGGATGGCCCGTCCTCACTGATTGTGCGGACCCCAGCACAATCTCAATTTTCGGAGTTTTGCTGCTTTAGCAATCGTGGTTCCTTGGAGTCCCGAGGTGAGCTTCGCCAAAGTCTGCCCTAGGTTACGTTACCACTACGGGTAGTCGCTGCCATTGTGGATCAGAAGGAAATTTACCACCATACGACTAATTTAATTCCAGGACGGCGGTGGATCCTGGTATTGGTTTACTCTTAGCTAGGCTTCCTGATGAAAACGTCGGACTACTTCTCAGCATGGGAGACCCTGCCAGGAGGATGAATCCCCTGTTGTACTTCGCAGTCCGACACCCAGGAACGCCTCTCAGCGACAATGAGGCTGTAAACCGTTGAGAGGAACAGTCAAATAACTGTATGAATAATATTAGTAATAAAATGATGTTAACAATAGCCCGGACTTCATATTAAATGTAAAAATTCAGTAAATCATACATTACAGCGGTATTGGGGAGCCTATGACGTATGGATCCATCATGAAAATGATTGCTTTAAGGCGTTGTAGAACGTCAAGTCTTCACAACTGTAGGACATTATGAGATCTCCCCAACCAATCACTCACCAATAATTTTTTCAAAACGACCTTCATTTAACCTCTGTATTATTAATCAGTACCTTTCTGGACTGGATTATTAAGCTAACACATGGTTGATAAAAGGGATCATTCGGCTAACGTTTCGACGTTTTCGTCTTCCTCAAAGCCGATGACTCGGGTCGATGGTCCACAGTAATCTCATTTAATCAGCCAACAGAGTATAGACCTAACAGCTATAGTCTGGTTTGCTACTCGCTATGTGCTAACTAATGCAATACTGATTGCTGCAAAATGACTTATCTGTTGAAAAACAAATTCTTACCAACAAACAATCATCATCACCAGCAACCATCTTGCATAAAAGAGAATCAGATTACCTCATTTTATGAAAGAGTGCAGAGTGGTGAGGTTTTAACAGCTACAGGTTTATAAATTTATTTTGCTTACACGGCCCGTCATCACAACTGGTGCACAGGTCCCAGCACTTCTTGCTTTCGATTCGTTTTCCTCGCATTCATCGTCCACAAAGGTCTCCGAACAGTCGCGTGTTGTTCCAGATGCTTCTTTTGAACATCGTCTCCCTCATGAATGTCGTACAAAGCTGCTCGAGTCACTTCTCCTAGCAATCTTGAAGATAACCGAGCTAAGGAGCTCCTATGTGGACTGGAGGAGAGCATTGGGGCGTAGGTCGAACTAGCGCCTTGGCTTTCTGATCGATGATACCACTTACCAATGCGTTGTCCGGCCCCACTGTGTTAGTGCAACAGTTGCAATAGTAAATCACGAGTAGTTTTCCAACTCTTATTGGATGGATTGTCCGTTGAAAAACAAATTCTTACGAAGGAATAATCATTGTCAACAGCAACCGAGCTCTATAAAGAGCGCCACCGGGTGAAATTGCCTCATTTTATAAAAGAGCGCGACGTAGTGCGGTTTTATGAGCTAGAGTGCACTATACATTTATCTATTCTTATTTACGTGGCTAGTCATCACAACTACTCTGCGGATATGGGCACTTCTTGCATTCGATTCGTTTCCTCGCATCCAACATTCACGATGGTCTTCGAACATTTCGCGTGCTTTTTCACCTATTGGTTGTGGTTTTCGTCTTCTTTATGAGTGTCGTAGAATGCCGGTCCTTCCACTTCTCCTTGCAACCATGGGGATATCCTGGCGAAGACGTTCACATGTGAATTGGAGGAGAGCGTAGGGCCGGAGGTCGAGCTAGCGCATTGGCTTGCTGATCGACCGCATCACTAGCCATTGCATTGTCACAGCCCCATTGTGATGATAGTGTGATAGCAATAGTGGCTTTACTTCGCTACGTGCAATCTTATCTAATATCAACTGCTGCAGGATAGATTATCCGTTGAAAAACAAATTCTTATCAACGGACAATCATTATCAATAGCAACCGAACTGTATAAAAGAGCGCTGCAGAGTGAGGTTGCCTCATTTTACAGAAAACAGCAGATGTTAAGGGTTGTATTTCTATTACTTGCTCATTTATTTTATTTTGCATAACCCTTCATCACTTCTATTCTGCGGACTCCTGCAATTCTTCATTTCGATTCTTTTCTCCACACCACCATCCACGATGCTATTCTTGGTTGATAATTTTTTGTTTGTGTCACGAATGACATTGAATGGGAGACAGGGTAGAGCCAGTTCCTGGGTAGGTTGAGCCGTGAGCACAATGAACGAGAGAACTACCACTGCGCTACCGCTGTTAGATGTATTGGATTCTTAAGTAAAGGCATAGCGTCGAAGTTAAAGTGACAGAAAGGATGCGGAGATATGCAGACGTGACTGACCAGGTATGAACGTGATAGGAATTTAATAGGTCGATCATCAGTGGAAACACTGTATTTTCACTCCTCGCGTGCGTCAGAACAGAGCTAACATCTCGCCTCCTCAGATGATTTTCGACTACTAGGTTTGGCTGTTTTATGCTGGACCACTGCGCTATATTCGCGACGAGGGGTGTGGACCCCAGTGAGGAGAAGTGTGTGGATATTTAGATGACCCTTCTTCAAATGTCGAGCAGCCCAGCAATTGCTCCATTTATTCCATGTATGCTATCATTGCCTTGTAACATATTATTCGCAGGTTCATTCGTTCGACTACTTCGAGATTTGTTATCTTTTCTCTTGGGTTACATTGTGCATGATAGTCGGAGCCGTACCAGAACATCCCCAGATCTTCGTCATTGACAACCACCGGCTTTCATGGTTCGGAAAGAAGTACGCCATGCTGGATGAGAAAGGATGAAGCTCTTCATGTTGATCAATTCCTAAAGCTGCGTTATCCACTCGGCTTCATCAAGCATCGGTAGATGTGATCGAGTGCATATCTGGCCTACGCAATGACTTGACCCATGTACCGAGTCAATGCTGCTTTCCTCCTATACGTCTGGTACCGATTTGCATGCACAGGAGGTATGAAAGGCTCAGTGAGTCCGAAGCAGGACTGAACCAACGTCATGTTCGTACGTGGATTGTTCCAGAGGGCGATTCCTATGACGTAGCGAATACCGGTGTTAGTCGACCAACCGCTAGAAGACAATAAAACAAGTCAATAACAAGTCATAACAGGTCAGAACTAGGAAGCGGTAGGAACGAATGAGTGCTTGAGGCCAGATTCAGTCATCAGCTAAATAAGCATGTTTTGACGGATTCTACTTTCACCTTTCAACTTCCAATTAGCGAGAGAGAAATGGCCTCAGGGTTTATCCAATTATCAACTTATGTATGACCGAAAAGAACTAGAGAAAAGGAGCTTAATAGTCGAAATTTTTGGAGTAGTCCACAAAATGGCAACACTTGGATCTTTGTGATCCACGTTTAAGGAGGGGTTATCCTAGACTTGAACCTACTCTTACATGCTATACATTCTTCATGTTTTTTCCACCTTTCGATATGATTAATAGGAGAAATAATCCATGACCTATCTAACCGTGGGGCTCTTCTTTGAGCTTCACCAAAAGAAACAAGCTTCAATATCCTACTCAAGCGATGGTGAATATCAGGATGAAAGCAGCAATCGATATGTGGACAACGTTTACTACAGAACCCCAGAAAACCCGATAAACCCAGTCATATTCAGTATTTACAAAGTAAACCAAGAAATGCTGGCCTTTTGCTTAGCGCGCTCCATTCCAACTTTGAGAACAAAATGGCGCTCATTCAAAAGTTTTGAACATGGCGTCAGCTTCGCTTGGAATCAGGGCCTTGCTGAAGCGTTTTCAGCTTTTAAGTTTGTTCAGGTTTCTATTCATGATTTATGTGTTGTATCCCATGCATTTCATGGTAGATAGCATTTTCAGTTCTTCAGTTTGTTTAAGTTTTCAATGTGTTCTTCTTTATGATTTGTGGATTCTGTTGGATGTTGTTTGTTCCAAAAAGCACTTAATTTTTGCTTTTATAGATGCGGTATCGATTACAGATCCTCCTCTAGTGCTGTCCAAGTTCTTTTTTGTTATTTTGTTAATTCCAGATTCGAAACGGAACTAGATCTGAAATGTCGTCGTCGGCTAGAAAGTAAGTTGTGCTTCTTCAAATTTATCGTCTTCTTTTCTGATCATATGAATAAAAACGGAAAAGCACAAGGAACGTCTGGTTGGAACTTCGATTGCAGAAAGGGGAAGGGTTATTCTAGAAAATCTGGGATACTATGTGATTTAATACAAAACTATCCAAATATGAATATCCATAAGATTTGCAAAACTCTGGACCGCAGGTGTCTATGGTGGGGAACGAACGCGCTATTGTCTTTTCCGGGGAGTAACGCGTAGAAAGTAAAAGATCGATAGAAATAGCTGAGAGACAAGCGAAACGAAGGACCCGTATGGTGTGGTGGTGGTGAACGCGTTACTCCCCGGAAAAGACAATAGCGCGTTCGTTCCCCACCATAGACACCTGCGGTCCAGAGTTTTGCAAATCTTATGGATATTCATATTTGGATAGGGGTTCAATGCCGATTTGGGCTCCGCAGATCAATCCCGTTGATGGGTGATTGCTGATGACAGTGATCAATAGAACAAGCTGAGAGGCAGGTGAAACGAAGGACCCGCATGGTGTGGTGGTGAACACGTTACTCCCCGGAAAAGACAATAGCGCGTTCGTTCCCCACCATAGACACCTGCGGTCCAGAGTTTTGCAAATATCTCAGCAACGTTGTGGTTGTATTTCGCTTAGTACCCTGCCGCGAAATTATAGTAGGCAGAAAATAAAAAGGTATAACATTGTGATCCATAAGATTGTTTAAAGTTGATTGTGTTTTCATTGTGTAGGCTGTTGAGCGTATAAGTGACATTCTTCTGAATCCCTTACAAAATTTGGACATTGATGAACAACTTAAGCTCATAACATCCCATGATCTATAAGTACTCACCCTGTCATACGGCGAACCTTTTCACTTAACAGATTTTGAACTTTCACACACAGCAGAAATGTGTAATATATTTGTTCGTGCCTATAGGTATATAGGTTCAGAGAAAGTCGAAACGAAGGACCCGCATGGTGTGGTGGTAAATACCTTAGACTCCGGAAAGCGTAATGGCGTGTCCAGTCCCCACCACAGAGACCAGCAATCCGGAATCTTGCAAATTTCTGTGTCGTTATAGTTACTTTTCATACTTTTGCAGTGCACACTCACAACACTTTGGCTTGGGTTATGATGCAGATATAGTGGTACACTCTATAATAGTGCAGTGCTAAGGGCACATGTAGCGCAGTGGTCGGAGACGACCTGCAATACACATGGTGTTAATCCCTGCACCTCAGGCACACCAAGCGCTCCATCTCTCCGGGTTCGGCAAATTGGCATCACACTTGTCTGGGATGTTAGTAGCACTGACTCGATACATCGGTAGGCCACTGCGAGTCGTTGTAACGGCCAAATATGCATTCACTCACGTCCAACGATGTTTGATGAAGTCGAATGCATGGTGCATCTCTAAGAGGATCATCGCTGAAAGCTTCATTCTTTTATTCCTTGCAGTCTAAAAAGAAGACAAAGATAGTCTTCTCCCGAATTTTTACTTTATTTGTGTCACATTTTGATGTTACAGGCGTGCTGCAACTCCAGGGCAAAATAAAGTACGTGAAGGTTGTAACCGTGCAAAGCGGTCGTTCGAGAACACAGATGCCGTGGAGGTTGTGTGCCGTCTGACACCATACTTTGGTCCTACGCCTTGTCTCACCGTTGTCGATGAAAACGTTGTAAGATGTGTTCCCCCGCCTGGTTTCCAAAGACGTGATGGTTCAAACTATGTGAGTTTATTTTTTGCTTCGTCTCGTGGTTGATAGTGTTAACGAAGCGCATTGTTTATTCTTTGAAGTACTTTTGCTCAAGAAATCTCACTTTGCTCACGAAATTCCATCGAAAGGACTTACTTTGTTTCTATCAAAAGATTTCTTTCTTTCTAAAGATTTTTCAGCACTTTACTGTTTCCTTACCTTGCAGGCACCAAAAGACTTTGAATTCGGATATGTTTTTGACGACACTGATCGTCAACAAGCAGTATTCGAACGTTGCACAATCGATCTCATAGAGCACTTATTGGCAGGCAAAAATGGTCTCCTCTTCACGTATGGTGTAAGTCATTGCTTCCTTTATCCTACAGTCATCCACCTGACATCTTCCTTTAGATTACTGGTAGTGGGAAGACATATACGATGACCGGCAAGCCTACCCCAGAGGAAACTGGTTTACTGCCTCGAACTTTGGATGTTCTCTTCAACAGCATCGATAACAAAGCGGACCGTTGTGTATTCTATCCAAATGGCCGAAATGGCTTTGCTATTCGTTCTAAACTTGAGGCCCACATTGCCAGAAAACAAGCCGAAATGGAACGTCTGCAGATAAGCAGTGAAATTGAACAGCGTTATGTGGAGAAAAGAGTGGTTGGTCTTTACCTTTTCCATTGCGTGCTATGCCTTCCTAGGGTATGGTTACAGGCTAGGTTACTGGTACAACTTCAGGTTCCCGGATATAATGACGACTACGTCTGTGCTGTATTCGTCTCCTACGTCGAAATATACAACAATTATTGCTACGACTTACTAGAAACGAAAAGGTTGTTGGCTTGACTTCATTTTCTTTGGTTTTCATTTCCTTAATAATATTCTATGTTAATATTAAGCACCCTTACGAAACGGGATACCCGTCTGGACGCCAACAATATGGTCTATGTAGAAGGTGCGAGGGAGATCGAGGTTGAAGACAGCGATGAAGCTCTCCAGTTGTTCTGCAAGGGTACTTCTTGTCGTTTCTAGGAATCCGGAACAATTCTGGATGCATTTCCTATTTCAACCCTCTTCCATCAGTGGTAGTACTGGCCTTGGAGTATTGAAGATAGATGCTATGGTTCATGATTCAGGTGAAGAGCGACGGCGAACAAGTGATACTATACTCAATAAGGAATCCTCTCGCTCACATTCTGTATTTACAATTCGTCTAGTGATGGCACCTTCTGGGGTTTGTCCAAATATTTCTGATAGAAAATGTCAAACTAGAATTTACCCGACAAGCTCAGTTTGGAATTGCATCTATTTATATCTCAATTTAAGGAGAGCTCTTATCCTTCGCACCCTGCTGATGCCGACAGAATTATTGTTTCGCAGCTCTCCTTAGTGGATCTCGCAGGCAGCGAACGGTTGGTTTTAAGGGATTTCTAAATTTAGCCCACAGACTTTTGTCTGGTAGTTCTATTCCAATATTTTATTTTAAAGTGCTAAAAGGACCAAGAATGTTGGTGATCGTCTTGCTGAGGCAGCATGTATCAATAAGAGCTTGATGGTTTTGCGACAGTGCATTGACAAGCTAAGGTAACTTTTGATTTCATTCGATGTTGATTCTTATCCGACTTCACCTTTGTCTTCACATCAAATCGATGTGAAAAGTTTTTGGAATTTGGAGTAAATGGTCTTCTGCTCTTTCCAATTTCCCATGCTATAGAAGGTGCCAGCGTCTCGGGAGCGGCGAGCAGATTCCGTACCGTGACGCAAAATTGACGCTGCTCTTCAAGAATTTCTTCGAAGGTTCTGGTAAGATACGGATGATCATTTGTGCAAATCCGAAGCCGGCGGACTTTGAAGAGAACTTGGTGTGTTCTTTCTTTATCTTCCTACATTGTCTTTGCATAGGTCTCCAGTCCAATGCTCTAAAGTTCAACCACCTCACCTTTACTTTGATTCTTTAGAATGTACTTGCTTTCGCTGAGGAATCACAAACGGTGCGCATAGCTCGTGCGGATGATCGCCTAGACACTATTGCGTCCTCAAGACCACCTGTACCACGTCGATTCTATACCTGTTGGAATTATGAGATTGATAACGCAATTGCTTCGTCTAACGTCCCCCGAGTCAGCACGAGCAGCATCTTACTCTCGGATTTCAATATCAGGGTAAGTTTTCTTACGGGTTGCATACCTCATGTTATGAAATCGGTAACTTCTTCAGAAGCAATGCTTTCATTAGGGTTTTTTCGCAAGGTATTTTTGCTTTTATCCATTCATTTCGGTTTTGATGTTTCTTTATTGGCTTGTTTCATATTCATAGACTGCCAGTAGGATTGAAACAACTATACATACGAAGCGTAATCATTTAATCACTTAGTTAATGTCAATTCTTTATGAAAATCTTTTTGAAACCGGCTGTTATGAGGTGGTAGCATGCACGTGGAACAATTTTGGGATATTTTTTTATTTATTATATTTATTTATCGATCTATTTATTCATTTTAGGATTTTTCTGAATACTGTCGATAAAACTCGTATATAATGCTGAGATATTTGCAAAACTCCGGACCGCATGTGTATGTGGTGGGGAACGAACGCGCTGTTGTCCTTTCCGGGGAGTAGCGCACTTCACCACCACACCATCCGGGTCCTTCGCTTTGCCTGTCTCTCAGCTAGTCGATAAATCGATAAATGTTTTGTCTGATAGTCTGTAAGAGCCGCTCTATTATTTTTACTCTACAGCGATAGGATTTAGCTTTTACGATTCTGTGTAACGATAGAGAACTCTACAAAAGTACCTATACTTTCTTTCGTTCTCTGCATAGGAATAAATGCCACGTAGCAGTGTCTACGTTTTGGAAAACTTCGTTGCAGGACTACAATGATTCTACATCGATAGCTAAACTCAAGGAACGTTGTTTAGCTATGTCTCAAATCTCTATTCGTGAAAATCAGGACACCGGTTTACAAGGCATGCATTTTTAGCCCGCTAATGACAACTGGAACTAATAAAGTCAACAAAGATTTTATAATAGCTGGTTTTTTAGTACGCGATGGCGAACTTTCGCTGAGAAATACGTTGTGCGTGGCTGATTATAATAAATTAGAGATCGAGCAATTACGCGCTCGTCTTAGGAATTGTGAGGAACAAAATGCATCGTATTCTGCAGAGAACAGAAAACTTAAGGTACTTATTTCCGCCAATGATTGAGGTCGAATTGGCTGGTCAGTTTATCTTTTTTAACACAGTAGAACTATTAAATTGTTTCGTTGTAGCGGGAAGTGCATTCTTTACGTGAGAGATTACAACGATACGAAGAACAAGATGAGCAAATGCTCACAGTTGAGGAGCAGTTAAGACGCAGCGTTAAGGAAGAGAGATCTCGGGCCATGAGACAGGACCAGAAGTTGAAAGTGGTAAGACATAAGCTTAACATTACTCTAGCAATTTGACTAGATCTGCTTTCCATACCGTTGTTTTCGTAATTATTCTAGATCCAAGACATCTGTGACGCCGCATCTCCTTCTGTTGCCCAACTTCGGAGCAAATTTTCTGCGGGTACTAGTACCCCATCTTCTAGTGTTGCTGTGGAAAAGGTGATAGTGTCAAAATGTGTACATATCCTAATTAAATGAGGTAGTTGTCTCTTGACGGGCTCAATTATGCGTTTTTAGCGCAAAGTGACCACGGCTAACCAGATTGAAGGTACATCACGAGAAATAGGCCCACAACATTGGGATGTGCAAACACCAACTTCAGGACCCGGTTTTTTCAATCCGAAATATCATAGGAGGTTCTTGATTTCTAATATTTCTATCATATTCACAATTTAGCTGTTTGTTCAGGTCGAAGTCAGCACCAAGGATTCTAGATCATCAACCAGCAAATCGTGTTCCAACCGGTGGAGTTCTTCGAGTAAAGTTACCTACAAATACGAAACATGTAACGAAGCCTGAGGTACTGTTATCAAAATGATGGGTTATCATATGATTTTCGGAGTAGTTACCATGGGGTTTAGAGACGCAATATACCGTTTCGCTCATTTTTGTTTTCTTTAGCCACATCAGTTACAAAAATCTAGCGATTATGTGCTAACTCATCAAGAAGTGGATCAAGATGGAAACATTAGTACAAGTATTGTAAAGGTGCTTTTAATTTCCTATTGGCTATTTCACTGTTATTGTCACCACGCTACCCTTAAATGCCGATTGCAATACACACCGCTTTAAACACGCTTTTGTCACTAAGTGGTTTTTGTGATGCTTGTAGTCCTCTGTTAAGCACAACACCTCGTAGAAAAATTTACATACGGACACATGTTTGTTATGCATGCGCAGGGCCATTTTTAGGAGCCTACTCTTATGGAGACTAATAAGTCAACGGATTCCTCAGTTTTACCCAATTTTACAAATACTCTTACGTCGACTGATGCAGATTCCGAAGTGTTAGCGCCGTGAACAATGTTCAAATTCATTTTTCTATTCTGTTCAATGTACATTATAATGTTTTTAAAGGTTGGTTGATTTTTTTACCCTCTTAAGTTTTTCGCAGAAATTTAGGTGATGTTTTTTTCCTCTATGCATGCTTGGTAACATGAGACCTAAACCGTAATTCTACCCTTTCAAGAAACCTGGAATTCGGTTTTACAAGTTATCCGTGATGAAATAGCGTATAAGGAGTATAATGCAGATACTAACTTGGGTACTTGGACAAACCGTTCTCACTGGTTGTGCAAGCCCAAGCGTTTCGTTTTCTGGAGTTTTAGTGGTTTAGCCATTGTGTTTCTCTGGAGTCATGAGGTTCGCCTGACCGAACTCTGCTCCAGCTTGTCACCACAGTAGGCAGTTGCCGCTTTTGAGGATCAGAGGAAGATTTGCCACCATGCGACTTTAATACCAGGACTGTGGTGGATCCTGGTATTGGTTTACTCTCAGCTGAGCTTTTTCATGGAAATTCTGGGTTCCTCACCTTGGAAGGCCCTGCCGAGAAGATGAATAACCCAGCTGTACATCGCAGCCCCTCACCTAGGATCACCTCCCAGTGACGATGAGGTGTTGAACCGTTGAAAGGGAGTGCGGATATAGCCTCAATAATTATATAGGAGTCTAATTAAAGTAGATTGACTGTTTTCAACATCAGCGATATCACGGAGCTAATGGTAGTTGCAGCATTCCCTTTGTAACACTGAAGATGTATCACGATAAAGTTGAATATCGCTTATGTCACAACTGCTTCACGTTGCAAGAGTCGCAGCTTTTATTTGTTTTCCTAATGCAGTGTGCTTTCGCAATCCCAGCAATTACCCCATGTTCTCCACTATAATTGTTTGCACACACTTTATTTCATTACTTCTAGAATGTTTCGTAGTTGTAAGCTTAAATTTACTGCTGAACTTAACATTCTGATTAGTGTAGTCTTCCAAGTATTCTCTCATGGTATTTATCAGTGAAGCTTTTTTCGATTACGTCTAGAAATCCTCGCTTTGCAGGGTGAATGTATTCCAACAGCCGGTGGAGGAACTGCAGTACTGTTTAATGATGTTGAACAAGTTTCACACAGAACTCCAGGACGTGAACTTCGTAGTTTGCGATCTGCTGCTATCAATTGATAACATTCTTGCCATACTTTATTCATGTATTAGCATTATAAATGCTTATTAAGATGCTTAAGGCTGATTACGATTTGTTTTTATCAAGTCTTAATTCAGTGACTATGTAAGTGAATGGTTAAATTTGAAAAGTGTACGGTAGCGCTGTGTTCAATGAACGGTAATGGATGAATTTGAATTCAGTGAGCTGTGTTACAGTGTACTGAAATACTGTAGACGTCCTACTTGTAACCAGCGGTGTTCATGAAAGTGGCCGATAGTAGTCGCTAAGGTTTTGCTTTGATTGTTCCGTTGCATTATCAGAGTAGTGCTAATGCTTCTCATAACGTCAAATCGAGATGGCGTTGCAATTTGTTTGGTTGATAGAATAGGTTAGCAGGACGTAGAATATCCGAAGTCACTGATGGAAAAGTGGGAATGGGGCATTGTTCACCACAAGTAGTATAGCACAGTTGGTGGTTGTAATTCTTTGAGAGGAACCTATGCATGACTTTTGTGAGGATCCACTTTCAGAAGCGATACGAAGGTATGAATAATCAGGTGGAAACTACGATTGTGGTTTCGACTACAGCTCAGTTGAACCGATTTAAACACCGATTTGTGCTCTGGAGTCGTCCATGTTTTGCAATTATCTCAGGATCACTGCGGTTGTATTTCACATAATATGGAGATGATATTTATGTTCCTGGTAATGCGTATTGATCTCATTTGCCTTAAATTTCGATTGGACGATAGACTATAGACATATCCAAGTTTGTAAACTCGTTTTGAAATAATGTGCTCCAGTGTAATCAGAGTGACCCACTTGGCTTCTAAAGTATATTTGGTTGTGGGATTCCGAATAGATTTGACTTATTCTTTTCACTTGCGTTGAACTCTCCAGACAGCTTGCGGATGGATGTTATAGACTAATGGGCTAAGAGTTTTCTACTTCTGATGTTGATCAACGTTCGAATCTCCAGACGATGATTAATACGTAGATTTCATATGCTAATCCTTTCCTTCTTTTATTGACCACTCCTAACCGTATTGCTCATATCCTGCTAGCAGTTCTCTTTTCTCCCTCGTTTTTTCCTTCTTTTGTTCGTTAGCTGCTGCGCATACCTTGCAGATAGGTGGCTGTTTAGACAAGCTGGGTAGAGAGTCCGAAATCTTCGGCTGAATGTCTTGGCCTGAGCCAAGCGATTCTAGTGAATGTGAAATACACAGTAGTTCTGCGGGAGATTTTGTCATGACGATGTCAAATGGTCATCCAAAGAAACTTCGAACAGCTGAAAGGATAAAGGTTTGTGCTTTTGTTTGATAGGCAGACTGGAACTTCCCTAACGGATGGAGTATGTGGGGCTAGGTAGAGTTTGAGGTTTTCCTTCACTTTTAATGTTTAGGTTTTTCGCCAATGGCTGGTTGATATGGACGAAGACGAGAAGAAGCTATTCATTAGAGAGTTACTGGTGATCTTCTGAGCTTTTTCCATGATGTATCTATTGTTTTGGCACAGTTATATAGTGGTGAACTTTTACAGAATGATTGCGATCTTCATAACTTGGAGTACATAAGTACCTTAATATCGCGTCTACGAGTTGCAAGATCTCGTCCTACCTCAAACAAGACCAAAGATCCCCTAACACTTCTCCCGTCGCATATCGTCCTACGAATCATGTCCCATTTAGATCCAGGTTAGCTCTTCTCAAGTTTCTTCTCTGTAGTTTTTTCTCTATTACCACAGCCAGTAGCGTGAACAATTGTCATATCTCATATCTTTTTTTTGTCATATCTAGAAATTTTTTTGTCATATCTAGAAATGTAGACGTAGAACATTGTTGTCTTAACCACTCTGATACTGAGATATTTGCAAAACTTAGACTCCAGGCCAGATTCGAACCTGCGATTATTCTTTCCGGAGCTCAGGTGTTACCCACTGCACCATTCAGACCATTGCTTTATGTTATGTTTTTCTTAGCTGCTGATATTATCGTTAGATAACTGGCTGAGAGAAGGGTAAAACAAGAGCTTCGGTAGTGCAATGGGTAACAGGTGACCACTCGAAAAAGCATTGCGGATTCGAATCTGGTCTAGAGTACAAATTTTGCAAATTTCTTAGCATCCTAGTGCTTGTATTTCACGTCATATCCTGCCATAGGAAAATTAGTAGGCAGTAAATAAAAAGCTAGCACTATTATCTTATTTCTAACTTCTGGATCGTTTAGTTTCACTGTGCCGGAGTTCGCGTGTATCCCGTTACTGGCGTCTTGTTTGTTCTGAACCTGTGCTTTGGCGTACCTTGTGCCAACTGCCTCGCGAATTCCGACTTTGTTCGGCAGAAGCAGAATCGTCGCAGTTGCGGAGCCACACTTCTGAGTGTGGCACCGTTCGATGGAAAGATGCCTTTTCAGAAAGATATAGGCTTTGGAGAAATTGGCATGCGGGCAGGTATGTTTTACTTGTTCGGGTGTACCTTCAATAAATTTGCATATCTATATTATTTTCAGACTTTACAAAGCACATAGGTTATTGCTTATTCTGCCTTTTAATATGAAACAGTAAAATGGTGCTGTGATTTGACGTTGAATTTTTTGAACAAAATCGGCGTATTTCTAATATAGAATAACTTCTGTCAGAAAGGGAGTGCATAGCGCAGTGGTTGGAGGCGCCCTGCAATACACGTGAGATTGATCCTCCCGCCTAGGTCTCAAGAAGCCTCTCTTCCCTCCGGGTTCGGCAAATTGGCACCAAACTTGTCTGGAAGGATGGTAACACTGGCCCGATACAACGGTATGCCACCGTGAGTCAATGTAAAGGCCATATATGCGTTCAATCACCTCCAACGATGCTAAATAAAGTTGATTTCATTGCGCATCCTTCGGGTATTGATCAACGCAGAGAACTTTATGTTTTTTCAAGTAGCTTTTGCTATAATAATTTCTACTAGTGTTTTTTGATCAGAATTTGATCTTAAGATTTTCTTCGTTGCACTTAGCGTTAAGATATTTTTTAAAACAGAAATTGAACTCCTCACTCGAAGAATCCTCGTTCCGTTGTAGATGTGTAGTTCGTACGTTTACGGGTCATACACAAGGCATTACTTGTGTACAGTTCGATGACGATAGAATCGTTAGTGGTTCATCTGACACGACAATTCGTATATGGGACCTCCGAGGGTCAAGCGACGTTGGAAGTTCGTTTGCTTTGTTATGTTTAGCCATCTATTTTTAATTTGCTTCTGTGTTCCACTTTAATCCGTTCGTTCTCTGTCATACTATCCATTTGACAAATGTTTGTAAATTACTGATTTCATCAACTATCTACCAAATTTCCCCTTTTAGATCTGGGCACTATGGCTCTAAACGGTCATTCTGCAACAGTTCGTTGTCTTGACCTAAACGGGAATGTTTTGGCTTCGGGTTCGAATGACTTTTCTATTAAAATATGGAATGTTGACGTAAATCCTCGTTGGTCTTCAATAGGATGCCGCAAAACAATGCTTGGTCACTCCAATTATGTGCGATGCTTACAAGTATGTTCTTTATTTATTCATTAGTCATTACGTATAGCTTAAATAACTTTGCAGATGGATCATGAGTATTTGATTAGCGGTTCTTATGACATGCACTTGAAGTTGTGGTCTTTGAACACAGGAGCCTGTATTAGAACGTTAATGTGGGTTGTCCGTCTATTCTGTTTTTTTAACAAGTTCTTAACCCCTCTATTTTCCGCTAAGCTCCAAAATCTTGCTTGGATATTTGGATGACCCATCTTCACTAGTGCGGGTCCCAGAAAAATTTCCATTTTTTAGAGTTTTCCTGGTTTATTCATAATGGTCCCCTGAAGTCTCGAAGCCGAAGTCCGCCCCAGATCATCGGCACCACTGGCAGCCGCTAGCCTTGTGAATCAGAGGAAGATTCGCCACCATGTAACTACTTTGGTGCCAGGACGGTGGTAGATCCTGGCATTGCTTTACTGTTAACTAGGCTTCTTGATGGAAGCACCGGGCTTTTTTTGAGCTTGGAAGGCCTTGTGGGGGTATGAATCGCTCGCTGTGCATCGCAGCTCCACACCCAGGAACACTTCTTAGCCACGATGAGGCGGAAAACCGTTGGGAGAGCTCTGAAATCATTCCTTGAATAATGTTGTATGTGTTGTAAACCGTATCTGGCGTATACGATATTCTTAACATAAGGTTCTAAGCGAATCTGAAGTGTAGTTTTCCTGTCAACTGATTACCTCGTTCGTATTTTGTGACCAGAATGATTTAGTGGGCATAATGACGCTGTGTTGTGTGTACAATATCGAGATCAGATATCATTAGCTGTATCCGGTTCCGCAGATAACTCTATAAAATGTTGGGACACAAGGACAGGAAGTCCTGAGATGACGATACATAATGCACACGATAATGCGGTACCTCTTCATTGTTTACTTTGCTGTGGAATTCTTTGATTGAAGTGACGGTACCACTATGAATTCGAGGTTACCTGTGTCCGGTTCGATGACCAGCGCATTGTTTCTGGAAGTGTAGATAGAATGATCAAAATGTGGGATGTACGAACAGGAAAGTTAGTTAATTTAACTATCCTTTTTTAAAAGTAAGCAGTCAATTTACAGAGGATTATTGTAACGGAAGTTGTAAGAGTGACAAACAGACAAACGACATGACAAGGGGAATAGTCGAGGAAATGCATTTTATTAATGTTAATTTTAGATGTATGCATACAATCGACTGGAAATTGGCCGAAGGTCATACAGGTGTTGTGCGTTGTCTTCAGGTAGACACTTGGCGAATTGTAAGTGCAGCTGATGATAGAACCATCAAGGTATTTCGATTTCTTTACATCACCAGTTTTTATAATGTCCGTATATCGCACTAGATTAATATTGGTAACTGCAGGCTGAATATTCCTCTCCTTTTGTTAACCATCAACATTTAATTTTTTTTTTTTTTTTGTTAAGCCTATTTACTAGCCAGTGTTTTTATCTCCATTTTATTCGAGAGCTATTGAGGAGATGAAATGGTTTGTGTTATCTCCATTTAGTGTTTTGTAGTAGTCCTCTAAACCTTTTTCTGCCATAAGGTACAGCATTTACGGTGATCGACTCTATTTTGTATCTTATTTTTAATGAACAATTGCTTTCCTTTGTTAAGTTTATTAAAAGGGCGCGCGTAGCGCAGTAATAGGAGGCTCCCTGCAGTACACATTGGATCGACCCCACCGCCCCAGGCCTACCAGGCCTTCCATCCCTCCGGTGTTGGCAAATAGGTACCAGACTTTTCTGGGAGGATAGCAGGACTGGCCCCATACATCGGTAAGCCGACTCAGGTCATTGTAAAGGCCAGTTATGCATTTAATCACCTCCAATAATGCTTAATGAAGTCAAATGGGTGGCTCATCTCTCAGGCATCATCGCCGAGTGTTTTATCTTTTTTTTTTTTACTAATTTTATTGCTTTTTGAACCAATGTTCTCGCAGTCTAGGTAGTACTACTTGTGAAGTTGTTTCGTGCAATTTTACTTCTGTTTTAGGTATGGAATGTCGATTCCCTGCAGCGATTATGTACGCTACATAGTCACGAAGATGGCGTTACTTGTGTACAGTTCAGTGATCGTCAAATTGTTTCTGGTTCCTATGACAAGACGGTGAAACTGTGGGATTTCAGCCGTTTCTGACACTTTTATTTGTTCTCTACTCTTGCTTCAAACTCATCAGCTCCTCTTTTCTCTTTGGAGTTAAATTCTTTGTTTGTTAGAAAATAGGATAATTATGTTAAATGGTTGAATATATTTTACGAGGTAAGTTATTATTGTCATTTTCCATTTCTTAATATATCTGCAACTTTGAGAATGTCCCATTGCTGGGGTTCCTGTAAATGTTTTTACTTTTCGTTGCAAAGAAGGTGAACTTGTCCGGTATCATTTCCTTACTTGCTGAGTCGATATTTCCACGTTAATTATTCCTCTCTCATTCACTCTCCTAATTTAGTCCTGAACCATCTGTGATAACCGTGTGTGTTGTTGTAGATTTTGGAGAGCTGGATTTCGGTCCGGACAATTTGTTACTGTTCTTCACTTAATACTTAATGGGATTTTCTATTGTTAATTTGGAATTGTTCGAAATCTTTTCATATTCCACAGCCAAGAAGTAGAACTATCGTCCATAAGTATGCGACCTTTCTTACAGTCTGATAAGCTTCCTATGAATTCAACTACTGTATAAAGAAGGTTTTGTCATAACGGAATTAAAATACGCTTTTGTATTGGTATTCTATTCTTATACTTAGAGAGTTCTAGCATGTTCCCAAATGTGTTTTTTGCTTATTTATGCAATACGAAATTACGTGTTGGTAAGTAAGTTTGAGTTGATTGAAGCACAGAACATAAGTTTTGGTTTTTTGGATCACATTTGAACCCCTGCACTCCGCCTCCTACCATGGTTTCCAGTTCCGTCTACCCTGTAGCCGTTCACCAAAAGTAGTTAATCTTTTCAACTCTAAGCAAACATATCTTAATTCGATTCCAAATGTTGAGATGAAATAGAGATCAGATCTACAAATCGTTGCAAATAAGGCTGAACTTCTCTTATTGTAAGAAGATAGAATGGGTCTGCTAGCGCAGAGGTGAGGGTGCCGTTCGAGTAAAGCAACGGACCGAATCCTCTTCCTCCATTGTCGGGACGTTGATACCAGACTTGTCTAGAACTAGACCACTCTAAGTGGGAATGCCTTAGGACGACTATGCGAGGATTCTAGAGGGGAAAACCTAGACTAGCACTGAACTATATTCATAACGAAGACGGAAATCCCTAAATAGCAGTCAAATGCTTCGTGTAAATGTTCCAAGTGTTTCTTGAGTGATGAGTCTGAACAAGGAAAGCGAATGAAAGAATCCACTGGACATGCGCAATGGATGTGAAGGCAACTAATATAAAATAAACACAAAAAAAGGCTAGAAAAGTGGGATTTTTATTCCCTGGAGTCCACAAAATGTTTTTCGTTGAGGGTTTTAATTCGAACTACGGAGCAAGCGAGTTCTCGACCACTACAGAAGGCGTTCCCCAATGCATCGTTGGTCTCTGAGTCTGCCGTGCTTACCTATAGTGATTTAAAATTTTTAATTCGTTTTCTATTTTCTTGGTGATTTGAATTTCAAATGAAACGTCAAATAAAGATAACATTCTGCGAAGGTTATTAATACACTTAGAGTGACGAAAGCATCAAGCTCTAAATTCTTCATGTACGTTATCTGTCGTTGTACTGCACATATGCTACATAGACCACCAAATTAGAGTAGTTGTTTTAAAAGCGTGAGGTGATAGGTGGCAGGACCTCAAGGATACGTAAAAGACAGGAGGCAAGAACGAAAAATTTTATGGAACAATCGGATCACAAGGCGATGAAGACCACGCCTATTTACTGGGTGGGAGGCTAGGGGATCAGACGCCTTGAGTTGATATCAACTCATATTAAGGGTAGAAATTAGGCGTAAAGTGGATGTGGTAGCAACACTAGTTTGGGATTTTGAAGTGTTAAATGTTTTCTTTTTACGCATTTATTTTCATTTCAGCTCTTCAAAATAGGAAAAAGCGGGCGACATTGGAAAGATACGTCTAGTCGAAACAGACCTCGTGATGGACGTTATGGTTTCCGTCAGCGACGACGATTGCAAAAATGAAGGAGATTCTGCTAGTGTATGCTCAGACGAGAGCGAAGAAGCTTTCCAGATTCCTTGCAAGTTGGCGATGTATGATTTTAATCAGTGTGATCGAAAGCGATGTTCGGGAAAAAAGCTATTACGAGCAGGTCTTATCGATAAGGTGGGAATCTTATTAGTGCACGTAACCCGTATATGTTTATGTTTCGTGGGTTATTAGTAGATAAGTGCAGTTCTTCCTTGTTATTCTCCTGTGCTTTAGCAATGGTGAAAATAAGAATCTGAAACTGCACTATATTTCAGGATTATATTTCAGGACAGGTGAAAACCACTCTCAGTCCCCATAATGGAATCTGTATAGGGTCTTTGAAAAACAGTGGTAGCCATAAAATTTGACGATTCGTTCGAGCATTTTGAAGTGCTGACTAAGAATCATCCATCGCACTTCATAGAGTATGCTCCTAACCGACTTCGTTAAGAAGTTTTTGCCAGTAAAGTCAATTCACTAAATGGCGGCGTTGGATCTGTCACGTGAAATCTTTCATTACTTGCCAGTTTGTGCATCTGGTAAGGTCCAGTTGGAATTTTGCTTAGGTATGGGATGATTCTCAGAAAATCACTTGATAAATTTCTTCTTGGAAGTTCCAACACCCGATGAGTGGAAGCAAAATACTACTAGCAGATTGGAAATACAGCATAGAAGCGAGAACAAAGCTGTCTTACGAGGAAAAATTGTCGCTGTAGACGGATATTCAAGGGTGGCAAGAGCTTTATGAAGCAATGAAGGCTATTGTTTTATTGGAAACTTAGTACGGGAATTCGTATATGTGAATTCTGGTTGACTGCTGCTTCTTTATGGAACCTTGACTGTATCCATGGAAATAAGAGGTTCGACAAGGCGACACAATATTGGGAAAGCTGTTTACTGCCGCACTTAATTGGGTAATGAAGTCACTCGTTTGCGACAGGCATGCGCGTTGATGGGGAAATTCCTATGAAATTTCCATTTCGCAGATGAAATCGTCATCTTTTTATGAAGTACCAGTGAAGCAGAGGCGATGCAAAATGAACTCAACGAATTAGAAAAGGATTACACTATATAAGTAGGACGAAGACCCAGTTCACGAGCAATCCTTGGCACGAAGGCGAAGAGATCGATTCAGACGGTTCGCTGACTAAAAGACTACCTTGAAGGTTTGCCTTGGGTGTTCAATGGACATGAAGAACAACATTATGGTAGGATTATAAAAAAACAATGAGAGCGACATGAACCCTATTCTGGCTCTCAGAGAAGCGGCCCAACAACTATCAGACCTAACACCCCGTGCTTACCTATTAGACTCGTCCTTCCACCGCTCTGGTTTCCAGCAGAGACCGGGCTGCTGATTCCGCCATATCGAGAACTCTGCGCGCCACCCACAGAGCGCTTGAACGATCTTTTTTGAAGTTGAACTGGTCTTCGGGATCGAGATTAATACGCATCGATAACGACGTAGAGATTTGTCATTCACGTGATAAGAAATACATGTAAGGCATGGACTAAAAGAACAATGGTGTGGACTTGAAGAGAATGAAAACGTCCTATAGGAACACTATGGTGAAAAGGATGGGAGGACATATTTGTAGCTAATGTCAACCATCTGCATTCGTGTATGGAAACGATTTCAGAAATTCGGAATGGGTTTCACGAAGGTTACCAGTGAGAGTGGGCCATGAAAGGATCCAAGGAATTACGCCAAAAAAAATTAAATACGTTAGGTTTAAAGCGGTGTACAACACTGTAAATCGCTCTTCCTCTTAGATTTCTCAAATAAGCTATCCACCTAGAGCAGATGGCTCTATGCATCTTTCTAATTTGACGTTCTTTCAGCTCTCGATGCGGTTAAGAAGTGAACAGGAATATGAAAGAATACAGTAGTAATCCTGTGTTGAGCTCCTAAAGGGTTAGAATGATGTGTTCTGAAACATGATGGACACCGTTATTTTCAAATACGTGTTCTTCCCTCTAGACAATTTTGATCTTTTGAAGCAAAAATCCCAATACTTTTGAAACCGACCGTCATTTAACCTCGGTAATATAATAATCAACACTTGTTTATATTGTTGAGGTTACACGAGGTTGATATGGGATGTTTATTCGGCTAACGTTTCAACTTCTTCGTCTTCACCAGAGCCGACGATCCTTGTCGATGGTCCACGGTGGTTCGATTCGAAATGCTCAACTGAGGGAGACCCGGTTCGATGCGAGACGAAGACGGCACGTCGAGAAGAGGAAGAACTGTGGATCATCGACAAGGACCTGTCGACTCTGATGAAGACGAAGACGTCGAAACATTGAGCGAATAAAAATGTTTCCTTCTGAACTTTTCGCACATAGCTCAATCCCATATCAACCTCGTATAAGCTCAGCGTTATAAAGAAAAACCCCAATCTTAATAGATTTATCCTGATGTGTCAAGAAGTTGACGAGAGCTATGTGTGAAAAGTTCAGAAGGAAACTGCAAAAGAACACGTACATAGTAGACAAATGTTTTTTGTTGTGCCACCATTAAGGAACATGCCTCCATACGGTTTACCGCCTCATCTTAACCAGGAAGTGTTTCTGGGTGCTGGGCTGCGATGTATAGCGGTGGTTTCATCCTCCAGTAGGATCTCCTAAGCTGAGAAGGAGTTTCGGGTTTCAATCAGGAAGCCCAGCTAAGAGTAAACCAGTGCCAAGATCTACCACCGTCCTGGTATCAAACTAGGCGCATTGTGGCAAACCTCCCTGTGATCCACAAAGACGGCGACTGCTTTTGGTGGTGATGACCTGAGGAAAAGTTTGGCTACATTGACCTCGGAACTACATGGAAGCACAAGGGCTAAACCAGAAAACTCCAGAAAATGGGCATTATGTTAGAGCTCACATAATGAAGAGAGACATCCAAGTTTCCAGGTTAGTATGGAAGATGATTGCAACCGAATAAAATGAATGAAGATTACACTTGGAATCGAATAATTTTTTATCATAATCGTCCATATATCCAAGTACTTGACACAGATGTCTAAAAATGTGTAAATAACTCTTTAAAGACGATGAAAGAACTACAGTAAAGCCGGAGTTTCAGCCTGTTATGTCCTAGATTCGTCTGGGGAGTCGTTTTCTCGGGCTCGTGCTTAGCCCTACCGGGAGCACAACTCTTGCTCCGTGCGACCGTCATTTTATTGACCAAAATGGCTTATGCGTGGTCGATTGCTCATGGAAGGAAATCGACCGGACACCACTCCACAAAGTTTGCTTTTTAGTATTCCGAAAGCATTCTGCTGATTCTGCATATTCGCGGCCATGTCGACAAAGTAGGATCCATGTGTGAGAATTATGACTGCTTTCAAATTTAGACCGAGCGTTTCTACCCCATGTGTGATCTCGTCAGTTCAAATTAAAAGACTATAGAATTTTTACCTCCATATAAATCTGTTTTGATTCTAAGATTAAGTTCTGATTTTTTAATGCCAACAGGGTATATTTCTTCGTCTTTTTCGTTGAGGCGAGAGTTTCAGGCATTGAAGCAATTGAACATGCTAAATTTTACCTGACAGTGTACGATACTGTCCAATAATATATCAGACGTTATCGAAAAGCCGACATGGTCGTGAATGTGTTGAAAGTCTGAGCTTATGGAAATACTCATGGTATTTACCATAGGTCCGAGCTCCAGAACACCGACTGTTACCGTACTTGGTGGCCGCAAATCCAGTGAATTATGGTCGACCATGTCATCTCACCTGTGCAGAAGCTCTGGCTGCAGGTACGGTTAAAAGTTACTGAAAAGCATAGTTAAGACTAATAGAACGATTCAGTCATAGTGTTATTGTCGTACTTCCAGTCCCATCTTTCCTGTTTCCCTTCTGAAATCCATCGAGGCCAGCAATATAATGAGTTAAAGCCATATATGAATTTCAATACATTCAGGATTAATTGTGATGAGAAGTCACAAAACGTGACTATTTTTAATTCTCGTTGTTGCTGTGCGCACTTTGTGAACATATATCCTCTACAATTTGAGAGGATTTCAGAGGAGGTCAATGTGTTTGACGAAATCCTTTTAAGACTCCTTCCTTTTGAGGTCTTCTTCCGATGACGTTTTCTTCTTCTTCTTTTCAAGAAGAATTAGCCTGTGCATAAGCCTAATAGTGAATAGCTACTAGGCTGTATGACTATTGTGACTCTTTGTAAGCATGAGTTTGTTACTAACATATGATAATTTAGGTAATTTTTTAGATAGATTTTTTTTATTTTTATTTTTTTTTAGAGATTTTTTAGATATTTAGATTTAGATAATTTAGGGTCGTTTAATCTTGTAATCAGATGAATGAAAGAGAGACTTTTGAAAGCTTGGCATTGCTTAGGTTTTTTTTTAATGTGCAGAACTAGTATCATCGATCATCAATGCGTGAGATTGTTCTCTCTTTACATTGAAAATATAGTTTACATTTTATGCATCAGGGCTTGTTATTCTCCAGTCGTCGTTGGTGATTCATTCCCTTCCGACATTGTCTAACTTAAGAGCGTTATGATTACTCTTACCAGCTCAAGTAGTTTATATTGTGAGATTGACACCACTTAAAGATCAACTGTTATAACCTGCATCTCCGGTCGTCCAGCTGATCGTCGATTGACTGGAGCGGGTGCCGGTAAATCTTCTGTATCTCCTTGTCGCGTGTAAGAAAAACCTGGTATGTTCTGTTCGCTCTAGGCACTGTGATGAATCGAGTCACTGACAGACAAGCAGGTAACGTGTGAGGAGCCAGGCTAGTGTGTTTATGAGGAGTGGCGGATGGTTTTTCAGGTGTTCATGTTTGAATCTGTCTGGGCTAGGTTTTGCTCGATTCTTCACCAACGAAAGCGTTATGTCGGATTTCCGAATGGAGAACTAGTGGAAAAATATGTCTATCCTCCATTTCGTATGAGGGCAGAAGAACGTGGTCATTGAAGAGATCCAACTAATAATCATAAATGCTGTTCTCCATTGCTTTTCTGGAGGCTGTAGCTATTGCGTATGGCTGTCGGAGTGCATTCGTTTTGATCTTGTAACAGGTGATTGTTCGGAATGCCGTGGGACTGCTTTTAGCAGTCACTGCAGTTTCGACCATAACTGTTGCTTTTCTGCCACGACCGACTTTCTATTAACCTCGCCATTGATCAAGTAATTTTCTTCGTATTTTTGTTGAGCAAAGGCGAGGTGTTATTATTCTTTGTTCACGATTAAGCTGACGTTTATGAAGGTTATGGTTATGATTGTTTGGTTATGGAGACGTCTGGCCGAGTAAATTGCTATCAACTTGACCTTTCCAGGCTCTGAGGAAGGCGAAATCCGCCGAAACGTCATCTTAATCGTGAACAAAGAATAATAACACCTCGTGTTGCTTTTCTTTTTTCAAGTTCTTCTTTTATGGCAACCAGCCAGTTAATGAAATAATACCTTGTGAATGTTCAACAAGGTTGGCGAAGGATACGAAAGGTCTAATAAATGAACCTCTTAATTACTCTTGGGAACTATGACAACATACATAATTAGCTGAACATGCGCGACTGTCCTTGAGCATCTGCGAGCTAACTGTTGTCAAACACAGTGAAAAAATCAGTGATCTGACTCACATCATCCTAAGCACGATAAGCTGTAAATTTCGTACTATATGAGATGAATAGGTTAGACTTTCGGTTGAGGACTATAAACAAAATATTGCAATCAGCACAATAGTTTTGATGCCGTTGATCACGACCGTGGTGTTGATTCGATCTCGCACCGGGCTCCCCAAGCCCCACATCTCTCGGGATTGGAGAATTTGGTGGTAGACTTCTCTTGGAACAGTTCACAGCCCGCAGTCCAAGTTCGAACGCTCTATTCCAGCTTTGCCAAGACTCTAGAGAGAATCCACCAGCATTCATCTACATTTGTGACGAAGTTGGGAAAACCCCCAAGTTGCAGCAGAACCCACACACAAAAATGGAAGACCTTCATGGACGCTGGTTCGGAGAAAAAGAATCAATTGCAAGCGTGGATACCTAGGTAGTCCGTCCTTGCCGGTTGTTCAGGCCCCAGCTTAATTGACTTTCGGAGTTTTTCTGGCTTAGTCATTTGTGGTTCCCCGGAGTATCGAGGTCCGCCTAGCTATGATCTGCCCAAGGTCGTCATTACTACAGGCACTCGTCTCTTGTGGATCAGAGGAAGTTTCGCCACTATGTGACTAGTTTGGTACCATGACGGTGGTGGATCCTGGTATTGGTTTACTCTTAGTCGGGCTTCCTGGTGGAAAACGCCAGACTCCTGCTGAGCTTCGGAGGCCCTGCCGGAGGAGAAAGCCTCCGCTGTAAATCGCAGCCCGACCACTAGGAACACCTCCCAGCCACAATGGGACGGTAAACCATTGACAGGAGATGTGATGACGGGTCGTGTAAAACAAATCAATGTACTATTTAGCTATGTTATTGTTACAAATGAAAATGATTTGATGTGTTTTGAAGCGAACTCTTGGATTTCAATCACAAATCACCTGGGTCACCTGTAGTCCCGTTGATTGTTGAGTGACTCGAGCGGGCGCCGGTAAATCTTACATTTTTCCCTGTCGCGTGCAAGAGTAGCCCAGTGAGTTCTGCTCGCTCAAGGGGCTCAAATCTTTCCAAAGACTTTATCAAAGTCGGTAAGCATACGTCCCGCTTGGCTAATGTTTGGTGTTATAAGGACGACGTAATCAGCAAAGCGAAGATGGTGTTACTGCCGACCATCGATTTTCACCCCCATATTATCCTATTCCAATGTTCGCATGACGTTCTGGAGGGTGGCGATAAACAATTTTGGCGAGATGGTATCGCTTTGCCTACCCCTCTTCTGACGTCAATGTTAATTTCGTTGTAGAATGGTGATATCTTGTTTGTGAAATTTTTGTGCAGCTCACGAAGAATCTTTATGTACTGAGTAGGGACTCCTAGACTATCAACGCCTTCCCAGACTGCTTCTATCTCAACTGAATCAAAGGCCTTCCGTAAATCGATGAAAGTGAGACAGAGCGGTCTTTTGTACTCTCGCGATACTTCAATGAGCCTTGTTAACATGTGAATGTGGTCCATCAGATTAAATCCTTTTCAAAACCCTGCCTTCTCTCATGGCTGTCCTTCGTCTAGTGTTCTGTCAATCCTGTTTAAGATGACTCGAGTTTTTAGACGACAGACAGCAAGCAGATTGGGGGGTAGTTGGCGATATCGTGTTGTTAACCCTTCTTGAACAATAACACGGTCTTGCTCATCTTGCACTGAGTAGGGACCTTGCATTCAGACAGGTAACGTGTGAAGAGCCGAACCAGTGTGTTTACGAGGACTGGCGGAAGGTTCCTCAGGTGTTCTGGTCTTTTCCTATCCGAACCTGGTGCTGTTCGATTTTTAACCGACAAAATGGCAAGTCGGATTTCGAAAGGAGGAACCGGTGGTACAACATATCCATCCTCCTTTATTTCATATGACGGGAAGTGGACGTGGCTATCGAAGAGATCTGAGCAGTATTCGTGAATGATTTTCTCCATTGCCTTTCTGGACGCTGTAACTGTTCCGCCTGGGCGTTGGAGTGCAATCATCTCGGTCTTGTAATTGGTGAAGCTTCGGTGGGCTTTGCGAATGCTGTTCCCAGCCTCTGCTGCTTCGACCATTACTGCTGCTCTTCTCTCTAACTTCTCTAACGTGAAGATATTGAATGAGTCGATCGTATTCTTCTTCGATGCTATCGACAACGGCGTCTTCCCCGCAACCGACTAACGAATTGAATAAATCCCAGTTTACGGTGGCTCTGGGACTTCGGTTTTCGAATTTAGCGGCTTTTTCGACTTTCCGCGAGAAGTAGAATCATGCAAGAAAGAAGCCGATGGTCTGATTCTGTGTAGAATTTTGGAACAGCAGCGGCATCGGTAAGGCAAAACCTTCTATTTACAATGNTGTGGTCTGTTTCGTTATGGTACTCTCCATTGGGAGACTCCCACGTCCAGCACTGAGGATGGGGCTTCTGGAATTGCTAGTTACCATGGATTGTCTTGGTCGCCATGACAAACCCAGACAGCTGCTCACCCTGTTCATTCCATTTTAATTCATGAGTCCCAATGTGACGTTCTTTAGACGTTCCTCTTGGTCCAGTCTTGGCGTTCAAATGTCCAATGATGATCTGGAAAAGTGTATGTCTTCTCTGTAGAACTTCTCCAAGTCCATATAGAACGCCTCGACTTCTTCTTCATCATAGTTTGATGTTGGCACATAAACGACGAAGATTGCCAAAACCGGAATTGGTCCACGTCTTTTTAATCGTAAACGTCCGATTCGAGTTGTTAGTTGTTCGAATGAAACAATGTTCATGGAAAAACTCGTGTTGACAAGAACGCCGACGCCGCCAACTCCTCTATTGTCGCATGTTCCGAGGAACAGTTCTTCTCCGGTGTCATAGACGGCTTTGAAAGGTTGGTGTCTTCTCGTCTCGGCCAGGCTGATGACGTCGTACTTTATCCTTCTTGTTTGCATGAGCAAGTCTTCTATCGAGGACTCGGATGCAAGTGTACATGCGTTGTAGATACAGATCGTCGCCATAGTTCTTCATGATCCAGGCAGCTTCCATTGGCCCTTAGATTTTAACAGACTCTCCGTACACGTCCTACCCAACACTGCGGTATGGGGGGCTCTTTCGGGGTCAGGGGAATGAGGTCCGTTTTTTCACTGTGTTTAACATTTTGATACCCACAAATAGCTTGCCAGGCTCTCCCAGAGTAGACATTGAGCTTATTTGTTGGCGTCTCCTAACCGCCTCCCATATACTTCGCTATCACTTGATTGCAGGCTTTTGGCCGAATTGACTCGTAGAATAAAATCCGCATAAACGAGAACACACTCACACGCACATGCATGAATTTGTCCTTGTAAATATTGAAAGTATGTGCCAAATCAGCTCATCAGTACCAGGTAGTCCATCCTCTGTGTCCACCTGCGCCTCAAGGATGCAATGGTCGCCTTTGGTCCGCCATCAACCCCCTTTCCGCCACCTGGGAACGCGCCGCGTAGACTTGCGACTAACCGGGTCGAGATCCTTCATATGAGGGAGATTCGTGGTTCAATCAATTCAATCACCAATAAGAGACGTAATGAGGGAAGTGAGAGCATTACATTCGTTAATGAACCCTGTACCACAGAAAGCGAGTGATGCACTGAGAACTGTTAAGAAATTCATCTGCAAGCACATTTTAGCACTGTTTCAGAGTCTTATGTATTATATATGCATTGCCTTAACGCACTGTTATTTAGGTCTGTATATTATCGGGCATTCTGAGGCCGCGGAACACCTGATGAAGCAGTTTTCATGGGGTCCACATTTTATCGAATTGAATCGCGAGTTGCTGGATTCGTATGCTGCTTGTGGTACACATGAAGACGTTATTAGAGAGCAGGCTAAATATTTAGATAAGCTAGATAACGAGGCTGAACAAAGCCGAAGTAGATGTGTTGACTTTCCTCCTAGTGACAGTGATTCTGATGTTGAGAGTGAGAAGATGGAGGAGATGGTTAGCATCGCTGAACGATGAACCTTCTCCTGTTGTCTTTTCAGATACTATGACCATTTCAGAGTTTCTACTTTATTTTGAAAATTATTGTGTACCAGTTCGTCCTTCTCTCCCAAAATTTATCCGAGTCTGCTTTGTGTTTTCTTTATTGTTTACTTGAATTTTAACACTTGTCATAGTCAGTTTTAAAAACGTGGATTGCTTCCACCATGTTCTCGTTGCTTTTTGATGTTGTGTTAGATTTGTTTATGTCGTACCACATAAACAATATTCCAAGGCAATGAGCGATGGAGATGAATTTGAAGGGGGATTCAAGTACGAAATCCAAACCGACGGGGTACGTCAAGGAGCAGAAGCACGGATCTTCGTTTGCACATACTTGGGTAGACCAGCTATCATGAAAGAACGGTAGATGTCCAGTTCCGGTTGTGCTTTTAGTTCTAAGTGGTTCATGATAATCGGTACAGTATCCTGCTCTTTAACATGGATAAACAAAGCAGGATATGTGTTTTCTATGTGTTGTATTTCAGGTTCGTAAAAAACTACCGACATCCTGTACTCGATAAGCAGTTGAATAGATCTAGGATAAGAAATGAAGTTAAAGGACTAGTCAAAGCACATGAGGTTGTCAAAATATTACTAGCTATTTTGAGTTATTATGGACTATTACGGACTAGGGGGCACGTATAGTGCAGTGGTCGGAGCTGCCCTACAACATACATGGGATCGATCCCCGCCCACTGTTCCACCAAGCCCTCATGCCATCGGGTACCATCGGGCAAATTGGTACCAGATTGTCTGGGAAGATAGCAGCACTGGTTCGATACATCGATGAACCACCGCGAAGAATTGTAGAGGCCAGATATGCATCTATTCACTCCAAACTGCTCAATGAAATCGAATACATGGCGTATCTCTAAGGGATTGGTCAACGCAGAGAGCTTTATCCTTTATCCTTTATATTACTTTACAGCTTGGCATATGTGTTCCGGTTGTGTTCTTTGTCGATGATATCGGGAATAAGATAATTATGGAACGTATTGAGGGTTGTACTGCAAATTCGTGGTTAGAATCCAGAAGGCTAGAGATGGAGTGTTCAGAACAGTTTGCTGTGAGTTTCTAAAAGCAGTTTTCGGAACATAAACCCTTTCTCTGTCTTTCTTATATGTTTCTGTCTTGTAGGCGAATACACATGAACTTGGAAAAGCTATAGGAGAAGCGATTGGCAAGATGCACCTGGGAAATCTCATCCATGGTGATTTGACAACATCCAATATCATTCTGAAAGATGAAGATTTTCGAAGACCGTTTTTCATTGACTTTGGTCTCGCTTCATTGGGAAAGGTTCGTATGGATTGCGTCTTGTCTGAGCATTTTTAGTGCTAACGCCAGTGTTGAGGGATACTCACAAGTTCTAGATTTGTTGCTAAATCTTGGTATACAAATGTGTTATGTATGCATATTTTCATAGCGGAACTTTATAACGGAGCTGAATAGCGGATATCTTCGTGACGTTAAAAAAGGACTCGTGTTATTGTGCTTGTTTATTTCTTAAGTTTTATGAAAATTAAAGTTGTCACATTGCTGTTTATTCTGTATTATATTGTATCACTTGTTAGCGCGTAGTGTAGTAGTCGGAGGCGCCCTGCAATACACATGGGATTGATCCCCACACCCCAGGTCCACCAGGCTCATCATTCTTCTGGAGTGGGCAAACTGATATCAGATTTGTCTGGGAGGATAGCAGCACTGGTTTGATACATCGGTAAACCATCGCGAGTCACTGTAAGAGCCAGGTATTCATTCATTAAGCTTCAATGATGCTTATTGAAGTCGAATGCATGGCGCATCCGTATGGGATTGATCAACGCCGAGAGCCTTGTCTATTTTATCACTCGTTAACCCGTTTATTCTGATTCAAATAGCTTATTGTTTTAAATTTTCTAGCATTAGTGTTTTATTGCAGATCTCTGCAGAAGATAAGGGCGTAGACCTTTATGTGCTGGAGAGGGCATTGTCTAGCACTCATATGGATTCCGAGCAAATGTTTCAGAAGATTTTGCAGGGTTATCAGGAGGTTAACTCTAAGCAAGGGAAAGCTGTTATAATGTACGTTTATGTGGTCTAAAACTCAACCCACCAATTTCACGTCTCAAAAGCTTTTTTGTTTAGAAAGTTAGATGAAATTCGACTGCGTGGGCGGAAACGAGATATGACAGGATAACGTTTACTATCTAAGTTGTTCGTTGTTATTAAATGTTTGTTTCAAATGAGTTAGTGTTTATCTTATCAACAGTTATCAGCTGGGATCAGCCATCACTGTTTGTCTTGACGTTTCAAACCTGTTTTAAAGTAGCATTGAAGGTCCAGGATCTAACTTGGAGCTCTCATATGAAGCATTCACTTGAACATGCCCAAAAGTCGAAAAATTTGTCTGGTGATTCCGGTCCTGAGCTTGTAAGTGGAAAGATATATTTTAGCAAGGTAGGCCTAATGCTTGGCTTTGGACTTCGTAAAGACTGTTTAGTCCTTTTAGGTCGGTATTCTGCCCGAAAAGTTTAATGAGGGTGCTTTTCATCTCAGCGATGTGCTGCATATTATTCGACCTCAGCTGTCCATACATTTTAATTTCATGATAGACCTTGGATGGTTAATTCAGTGAGTCAACAGGGAAACGAAATTCATAGCCCATATTCGCTGACAATCCCATTTTAGACAATATCCAGCTCCCTGCAGAGAGTCGCCGATAATTTGTGTTGTAGGCGAAAAAATGGGAACCGACAGAAGGAGCCTTCAGAAGGTGAGTTTGCTGGTTTTTTTGCACTTTATAATTTTGTTTTCTAGCTGTTGTTATTAATATTTTTAAGGAAGTTGCTACCCTGAATCTAAAGAACATTTCCATTCTCGGTGCTAGTCTACCGCTTCCTTTTGGTACACATCACACTAAACTGTCAATGTTTGATTATGAGGATAAACTGCATATTATTGTGTCTACTGCTAATCTCATTGAAGGTAGGGCTATGTTCAGCTTGTTCAGTACATGTGAAATTTACTAATATGCAAGAAACGTACTAATTCTTACTTACTTGCTTACTGCTTTGTCTCCACAAGTCATGTGAAGCTAGACCTAATTTTCTTTGACCCAGTTTGTAAAGGATTCATTCCAAGTAGCTTTGCTTTCTTGTGATTTCTTCAGTCGTTTTTTGGAATAGTTTACGCTCAACTGGAATCCTAGGAGGGAGAAATCCCGACTTTTCTATCGTAGCTAACCTTGTCGCGTTGATGATCCACAATATGCATAATGCGCTTCGAATCGTCTCTTAGCATCAATGGGGCGATGATCTATTGAACGGATACTAGCTTACTTGGATACCTAGATGAACCATCCTCACTGGTTGTGCGGGCCCCAGCGTAATTTCCATTTTTTCGGAGTTTTGCTGGTTTAGCCATTGTGATTTTCCGGAGTCCTGAGGTTAGTGTAGACAAAATCTGCCCCAAGTCGTCACCACCACCAACAGTCGGGTAGGAGACTAGTTATGCTTTATTTGCTGTGGAAGATTAGTCAACCATTTTAGGCGATTGGAGTGAGAAAACGCAATGCTTCTATTATGCTTGTGGAATTACTACGAGAATTGGGTAAGAGTATAAATTGTTAGCGCTTCTTATCCACAATTTTACGCACCGAACACTAACTTTTCATGTAGTTCTTCACCTTCAAGTAAATTCACTGAGGATTTGTGTGCATATCTGTTGGAGTATCGTCTTCCGGATGTTGATTTTTGGATGGATCGAATTCGCAGCTGTGATTTCAGCGGTGTTTCTGACCGCTTAGTATTTTCTGTACCCGGTATCCATAAGGCTGATCGACTATATAAGGTTCGTTAAACTGCTTCTGTTGACGTGTCAAATCCCTAGTTTCACACACGTTCATTCAGTTCGGTCATCCTTCCTTGGCTCGACTTTTGTGTGATCGACCTATCCCTGACCCTGATGTTCGTCGACTATTTCTTGTTCAGTGCAGCTCCATCGGTTCTTTGGGAGCCAAAAGTGATACTTGGCTTCGCCCACAGTTTTCACGTTCTCTTCAAGGAGACCAAGCATCATGTTCGTGTACATTTATTGAGCATTATTAAGTTTTAAGCACGTAAGCTATTTTACAGGTTCATCTCGACTGTTTCTTATCTATCCATGCGTAGAAGATGTAAGGAGCTCACTGGAAGGCTACAGTGCTGGAGATTCATTACCATATCAGGTAGTTGTGGATGTTCATGGACAAAATTTGGAATCTTCTCAAAATCTACTCGCATTTCATTTCATACACAGAAATCAACAGCTGAACGACAACCATGGTTGAGAGATATTATGTGCAAATGGCGAAGTGAACGATGGGGTAGAAGCAGGGCTATGCCTCACGTCAAGGTGTCATGGAATCTTCCATGTTTCTTTCTGTTACTTTGACTCATTTAGAAGAACTTCGGATTTTTTAACGTCCCTCTCCATAGTACCAACTGTGTTCGCATTATTTTTGTTGATATCATCACTTTCTGTCACATTTTCATGATGAGCTGACATCGAATCAGGAGAAGATTTACGATTTTCTTTCTGAGTTGATGGTAAGTTGGACTTTTCGGACAGTTGGTCTTAGCAGTTCTCGATTCTCACTTTTGTGTTTTCGTGACCACTCCGCCTCCACTTTTCCATACAAACAGCTTCAATCAAATCCTCCTCAGCCTGAGCGCTCCGCCTTGCACGAGAAGCATCTCCGCCGTTACGTTGGCGATTCTTTTCATGATAACTGTACGACTCACCATCTGCATAGTTAGTTCCTTCATAGTTAATCCGAGGTCTGTATTCATCCATTGCCCAGAGCTTCTCACGTACGGCATCCATGAGAGATTCTAGGCGATTCTTTCCACGCCATCGTGAAGGGTTTACAGCATCGGGGCTATTGATGGGAAGACCTATGCCCCAAATTAGGTCATACGGCGAGCATTCAACGAGCCGCGAACCGTGGGTTTGAAAGAGCAAATGACGTAGCTGGGCATTTTGTACGAATTTCGCTTCAAGCGCGGACGTCATAACATCCGAATTAATGGAATCCCATAGATCACGATTGAATCCCATGATCTCCATTCCAATTCGTTTCATTTGTTTTGGATCGCGTTCGGACATTATGCGCTCCGCAGCTCTGTTATCATTAGCCGATAGTGCCTTACTGTACATATAGAATTGTTCGACACACGAAAACTGTTTTCTGGATCCATCCATAGCCGTCTGCTCGAAAACGCATGGATGGAAATTCGAAAAAGGACTTTGCATGGTGAAGAAAAGGTTATAACCCAGTATCTCAAGAGAACTGGATGATTTCTCCACGTCGATAGCTGGATATAGCGACAACCTGGACTCTCGTTAAACTTTGGTAACAGAAGAGCATTCTATACACGTCTGGAGTTCTCATTAAGCCGGATCGTGAAAGGGAACTCGTCGTGTATCATCGCCATGCGGTGATTTCACTCTTTTCTTCACCATGTAAAGTCCTTTTTCGAATTTCCATCCATGCGCTTTCGAGCAGACGGCTATGGATGGCTCCAGAACACAGTTTTCGTGTGTCGAACAATTCTATATGTACAGTAAGGCACTATCGGCTAATGATAACAGAGCTGCGGAGCGCATAATGTCCGAACGCGATCCAAAACAAATGAAACGAATTGGAATGGAGATCATGGGATTCAATCGTGATCTATGGGATTCCATTAATTCGGATGTTATGACGTCCGCGCTTGAAGCGAAATTCGTACAAAATGCCCAGCTGCGTCATTTGCTCTTTCTAACCCATGGTTCGCGGCTCGTTGAATGCTCGCCGTATGACCTAATTTGAGGCATAGATCTTCCCATCAATAGCCCCGATGCTGTAAACCCTTCACGATGGCGTGGAAAGAATCGCCTAGGATCTCTCATGGATGCCGTACGTGAGAAGCTCTGGGCAATGGATGAATACAGACCTCGGATTAACTATGAAGGAACTAACTATGCAGATGGTGAATCGTACAGTTATCATGAAAAGAATCGCCAACGTAACGGCGGAGATGCTTCTCGTGCAAGGCGGAGCGCTCAGGCTGAGGAGAATTTGATTGAAGCTGTTTGTATGGAAAAGTGGAGGCGGAGTGGTCACGAAAACACAAAAGTGAGAATCGAGAACTGCGAAGACCAACTGTCCGAAAAGTCCAACTTACCATCAACTCAGAAAGAAAATCGTAAATCTTCTCCTGATTCGATGTCAGCTCATCATGAAAATGTGACAGAAAGTGATGATATCTTGTATTTTGTTTTAGTTGTTCTAGACATACGCTGAGATTATTGATGGAAATCCACAATGGGTACTAGTCACCAGCGCTAATCTATCAAAAGCAGCGTGGGGAGATTTTCAGGTCTGACTTCCAGCGTTCTTCTTTTCGATGTCTGCATTTAACACATGTATTTATGATTAAAATATTGCTTAATTAGAAATTGAAAGTTTAGAAAAACAGAACACAGTTAATGGTGCGATCGTACGAACTTGGAGTACTTATAACCGATTCATCGCGAGTAAAACTTCCTTATGATTATCCTGCCATGAAGTGAGACAAATAGTTGTATGTGTTTTCTTTTCTTTTTATTTTTTGAGCATGTCTGGTTTAGGTATAGTTCTATCGATGAACCATGGTTATGTGATATTTCGTATACGAAGGAGGATAGCCATGGGAAGCAGTGGATTGTTACACGAAGATAGATACGCTTTCTTTGCACCATCTGTCATCACACTTGTTCCTTCTTTACGAATACGGCTGTTTCTTGTTTTGAGGAGAGAAATATCTTTGACCTTGAGTTTTTCCAGGGCTATGAAATGATCCGCAACTCGCGGTTTACTTTTGTTTTATGGTTTCCACGTGTTATTCTTGACAATTAATGTTTTTCAGTATTATCAGACATTTCGAAAGAGTCTTTTTCATTGTTGAATACGTACGACATTTTTGGTTACCTCACTATATATTACAAGAACACCTTTCCATTGTTTCTTCTATGTAGACTAGATGTGTTCGAGGGTTTTTCAAGCTGCCAGTGGAAAGGACGTTAAGATTCTCTCGTTCGGTGATGTTGTTCTTTATGCATCCGATTTACAAACACTTCTTCCTGGAATGTGGGTGAACGATAACATCATATCATTTGCATGCGAATATCTACTGTCGAAAGCATCGGACAAAATCAAAGAACAAGTAATTTTTTCGTCTTCATCAAAATAATTGGTCCAGTTTAATGGTTACATCGTTCAGGTAGCTATCGTCAGTGCCGCAACTTGTGAACTAATCAGACACTACGGCGAGGTGGAAGTCATCCAAGAAATTTTTGATACACTGAATTTCTTTTCAAAAGAGAAGGTAGTTGCATTTTTCCTTCAGTAGGAATTGTTTGATATGAGCTAAAGATGAAATTCTTGTGTCGCCCGTTCTTCTGCTGATCTTCGAATGACTCGAACTAACGCCAGCAAATGCTCGTCATTTGTCCTTGTGATCTGAGAGCATGCTGATCTTTTGAACGATTTGTACAGTATCATATTTTGCCTGTAAAACTTTCGTGAAGAAATCTTACCGTCAGGTAGATGAACTTCCAATTGTAGACCAAATCGCTAAGGTCCAACGATTGTTATCAAGACATCGCGCATACAATTGGTCTGATTTTAAACACCTTGATATATATATGGCGGTGTCGATGTAAATCGGAATTTTGGATTCCTTCATACTCGTATTATACGGGATACTCTAGCAAAATCGCGGTTTCGTTAGCGCATAGTTTAAGCCCACTGATTTTCCTACTTATGTGGAATCCACATTTCAGTTGATTACATTGTCAGAGATTAGTAGAGCATCAGTGAAGTACAGACGATTCTCAATGAACTCATCGAAGTGGAAATAAGGATAACAATGAGTATAATTAGAACGGAAGTAGAGTTCGTAAAAAACGACTCATACTGCCAGGTCTAGGTTGATAACTACAATTGGATGGAGGTGCTATTTTATTTCTTTACTTACGCACAAGCTGACGTTTCGGCGGATTTCGCCGGCGGAGGAAGGCTAAATCCGCCGAAACGTCAGCTTGTGCGTAAATAAAGAAATAAAATAGCACCTCGTGCTTGCTGAACAGAAGTAGAAAGATACATTTAATCAATGCTGAGGTTAATAGAAAGTCGGACTTGGGAGTTACTACAATTGGATGGATTAATGGTTACAGAGTCTGCCTTATACGTGTAACTTCGGTGCTCAATGAACGTAGAGAACAGGAAGAAGGTATAGGGATGAACGTGAGCATCGTAATTGACATTCCGGGTTCACAAGAAAGTCGTCGATCACCTAAGGGACCTGAAACTTTGCTCTCAGCTTCTCAGTTTAACGTTCTTCGTACACTCTGTTATGCAGCAGAGACTTGGGTTGGCCCTTGATTCACGTAAAAGAAATCTCTGCGCAGCATTTACAGGGGTTGAAACGATGTTTTCTGAAATTTAATCAACACATCGTTTAGCTGGCATATGAAACTCACGTATTCGCGGTCCAGAAGATGTACATCGATAGGCGGGCAAAGGCGGACATATGATTTAATAAGAATAGATAACAAATGGATAAAAAGAAACTCTAGGATGAACTCCAAATACACAACTATGCAGGCGTAGTTCGTGAAATAATGGGATAGCTTTAATTAATATTCTAAACCTAAACTGTGATCGTGGTGAAAAAAAATAAAGGAAACTGTAAGGACATTGTACGTTCTTCTGTTGCTCACCTCTTTTATAGAGTGATTCCCCCCGTAAAACGTTTACACAGGATGATAAATAAGGGCCAACCTAAAAGATATATGGGATGCCAGATCGCATCTAACAAGAGGGCATTCGTCCTCTTTAAAGTAGCTGTAAAATAACTAAAATAATAGAACCTCTTGGTAGTACTGCACAGTGGTATTCTTCATCGTTAAGCCCGTAAGATTAGTTTGGAAGCTGATGCAGTTGTCCTTCTTTCTCCATCTCCTACGTATTTAGTGGAGTGCTCTTTCGGATTTCGTCTTTTCCATCTAGATGTTCTTTTATGCGAACGCGAAGTGCTCAGCTGCTTTCACCTTCACGCATCTTACAAGCGATAAGGAATGCTGTGCTCCAACTGTCTACAGTTTTTTCGTTATGCGTAGATATTCATATATGCAGTTTTGAACTATTTCGAGTTGTAGTGTGCTCGATAGTACTTTGGTAACTGCGACGGGATTCAAAATCTCTGCAAAGTAGACATTTTGATGCATTGCTTAATAATAATGCTGAGTTCGATGGAAATAAAGAGCCAGTGGACAATGATACTTGTTTTTGTTTTACATGACCCGTCATCATATCTACTATGCAAATCGCAGCTCTTCTTGCATTCAGTTCGTTTTCCGTCGTATACGTCGCCCACCATGGTCTCCGAGCATTTTGCGTGTTGCTTCGGCTGCTGCTTGAGGATTTCGTCTTCTTTGTGAATGTCTTAGAATTCTGGTAGAGTGAATTCACCTTGCAATCTTGGAAATAGGTGGGGTAAGGTACCCCATGTGGATCGGAGACCATTGGGGTGGGGGAAGAACTAGTGCGTTTGACAGGATCGACTTTCTCTTAACCTCGGCATTGGAATATGAATGTGTCGTTTTCTTGTTCAGTAATCGCGAGGTTTTTAAACAGCATACATTTACTTCCATAAAAAACACAATACAATACAACGCTAGCTGACGTTTCGGCAGTATCGCCTTCTTCAGAGCCTGGAAGGGTATACTGATGTACAATCTACTAGGCCAAACGCTTCAATAACACTTACAAAAAGACGAAAGACTCTTTGGTAATTACATGATCAGCAACTTCTCGAAAAAACCCACCACTTTTTCGTGACTTCCAATGAGGAAGTTTAGAACAGCTGATTAAAGTCGCATATGGTTGATGACTGCACCATCCCACATCAAAAATCGATGCGAACATACGGGATCAGGTCGCGTATGACCTCCGGGCATTCATCCCTGCTATTCATTGTAGGGTTTTTGGCATTGATCCAAAAAGCCTAAAGGAGTTTTCGCGCTGGTGTTTTGGACTTCTGTGCAAGGATATTGACTTTTACTTCAAAATCGTCTCCGCTATGCTTTTGTATCCTATGCGTGCCTAGTGGGGCGCTTCGTCTTAGTTTTCGTTTGCCATCTAGGTGTTCTTTTATACGGATACACAAAGGTCTGCCCGTTTCGCCAATATATTCATCTTCGCAATCATTACAAGAGATCAGGTATATCGTACCTGAACTCATGCAATCATCGTCCCTGCCGTAAGGGCAAATTACGCAATTTGTTGTTTCACATAGACGGTCATACAGGCGGTTGCGAACTAATTGGCGACGTAGAGTAGCCGGTGGTATTTCACCCTTCTTAAGCATCATTTTATAGCCAGGCTTACTTCATCGCTTATAAAAGGCAACATGGACGGGACTTTCTTTTTAGAAGGCGATACTGCCGAAACGTCAGCTAGCGTTGTATTGTATTGTTTTTTATGGAAGTAAATGTATGCTCTTTAAAAACCTCGACTCGAATAACAAGCTGTAGAAGAGAAATACGAAAAGTAGGAGTAAGAAAAACAGAGAGGAAAACGGTGGATGTTTTTGAATCTTTTTTATGATTAGTGTTCAGACTTTAAATCCTCGCTAAGATTATAGAAAAAGTTATTGAATGAACAGTCAGAGTACATAAAATTCACCCGTGAGAAACCGAAAGAAAACTGGCTTCCATTTCTAAACCTTCAAATTAACCTATCCGAGAACGGCTACACCACAAAATGGTATCGAAAGCCGAGCAGTAAGAATATAGTGGTCCACTACCGCTCCTCTCACCCCTCACACACTAAAAGAGCGCTTATAAGAAATATGTTTCGAACCGCCGCTAGCGTGTGCACAGGTAGAGAGCAGAGGGAAGAATCCTCGAAACTGGAGCGACAAATAGCCATCTCAAATGGTTACGAAACTGTAGCTTCTCAGGATAGGCATCGAGGAAATCCCACGCCCCAAAGCGATAATTCTAGTGAAAACAAGGCTCCGTTTCTGTTGCCCTTTATTTCAAACGAAATAAGTGCAGCTATAAAACGCTGCTTAATAAGGGCCGGTCTAGAGAATTTCGTAAGAGTGATAGAAATACCACCGGACACTCTAAGACGCCAGCTAGTTCGCAACCGCCTGTACGACCGTCTATGTACAACAAAAAACTGCATAATTTGCCCAAATGGTAGAGACGGTGATTGCATGAGTTCGGGTACAGTCTATCTGATCTCTTGTAAAGCGTGCGGGCACGAATATGTTGGCGAAACGGGTAGACCGCTCTGCGTCCGCATAAAAGAACACCTAGTCGGTAAATCTAAACTAAAACACAATACTCCACTAGGCGCGCATAGGATGCAAGAACACAACGGAGAAGATTTTGAGGTAGGAGTCACTATCCTTACGCAGGAATCGAAAACATCAGCGCGAAAAACTCTTGAAGCGTTTTGGATCAATGCCAAAAATTCAAAAATGAACCGCAAGGAGGAGTGTCTTGTCATCACGCGTGACCTAGCGCCATACCTCAGGCTGATCCAATGATCTGACATGGACCCAGTTATCGACCATGTATTACTCTGTGCGGCGGCTATCCACCAACTAACTTAAATACTTACAACAAATAAACGGTAGGTGTTTGAATGAAGCTGTTTCTTATGCGAATACAAATCGATTTATCAAGTTTTATATGCTAGGGTTATGAAAGTGTTTGGCTAAGTAGATCGCATCTCAATTTGACCTTTCCAGGCTCTGAAGAAGGCGAAACCGCCGAAACGTCAGCAATTGTGTTCTAATAAATTCTATATTAACAACCTCGTGTCTGCTTATTGATGAAAAACATTGAATTATCAATTAATGCCGAGGTTAACAGAAAGTCGGTCATGGGATTATAGAACTGTTTCACCGAATGCTACAACGTAGTAATAGATGCCTTTCCATGCTCTGGAAGAAGGAAATTATAGTTTCGCTAAATGTTTTAACTTTTGTTTACTACCTATTATTTTGTTCATGGAAAGGAGTATTGTGAAATACAATCACCGGGATGCCAGATATGAGCAAAACAGGAGACCTGAGGTGTACTTTGAACCGGTGGTTTTCACTACTGGGCCCTTATCTGCTATTCACAACACCAACCGAGGCCCTTCGCTTGACTTTCTGTCACCTACTTTTTTGCTCTATCGGTCCTATCATTAGTCACTCTTCAACGGGAACGAAAGTTAGCACATTGTGATTTCGTCTGCACCTTCAGTCTAACTGGGTTCAAAGCCGATTTGTGCTCCTCAGGTCATTCCTGTAGACGGGTGAATGCTGATGGAGTCGATAGGGCAAAAACATGACTAAAAGTACGGCAGAGCAAGACCCTCGGTTAGTATGGTGGATGGCACTTCAGCTTCCAGTACAGGTAATCACGGGTTCGATGCCAAACTGAAGTTCCGTTTTTCTTAAGTCTCAGCACATCTGTAATTTCTCTGTTTTTTGCCATAGCATCTTTTGAAAACCTATCCGTACTGCTTGATCTATTGGAATGCCTTGTTTTATGTCATGCTTTCATAAATATTTAATGTTTATATTCCTAGTTTTAAGGTCAAAACTAACACAAGTTTAGTAATTAGCGTAATGAAGCGTTATATCCCAAACACAGGTATTGTTTGTTCTCAATGATCGGACTGATCCAACAACAGTTGGTGGTTCGCATTGGTCGCTACTAGTTCTAAACCGCAAGATATCGCAGTTTCGTTATTATGACAGTATGAAGGCATCGAAAGAAACTGTCGCGAGACAGGTACTGTGGTCGTGATTGTTTTGTTTCAGTAGTATTTTGCATTTGACCCTGGGTTTCAGCTCGTGGCTATCCTAACCTCTTTTCTGAAGTCTGGAGTTCAACACTCTTTCGTAGTGGAGGATTGTGCTCAACAGTGTAATAGTTTCGACTGTGGAATATATGTCATTGAGTTTGTTCGACGAGAACTTGAGGTGGGTTTGGTCTGTTTCTTTGGGAACTTGTATTGTTTCAACATTTTCTATGGCAATACTTCCAATACAAAATTCTTGCTACAGTTTTGAAACCGACTGCCATTTAACCTCGGTTATGAAATACTCGACACGTGTTTAAATTGTTGAGCTTATACGAGTTTGTTAACAAATTAGCTAACTTTGACTTTGGGTCTCATATTGTAACTATCCTAACCCCGTTTTTGGAGTCATAACTTTGCTTTATCAGCCTCGTATAAACTCAACAGTTTAAATACATGGTGATTCTCTCCACAAATTAGAGATTCTTTTACAATATTCACAACATTTCTAGCCTACATGTGCGTCAACTCACATTTGTTTCGATTCTGGCTGCATGAACTTGCAACGTCAACACTGGCTAGATATTATCAATTCGTTATCATTAGGCTGTGATCGAACTTAGACTGTCATTTGAAGGTCTTGGCTCATTATTGCAATGCTCTCATTAGTACAAGTGCTAATGAATTTTTGTTCTATTTGTCATCTTGGTTCGCTAGTAATTGGCTTACAGGACCAGTTCCTTGTAGGCTTCTTATATCTGTTGCCGAGTTTTCGTCGAGGCCTTAGAAAATCTTTTCATCTAGTATGATAACACCGTCGTTCAATATTGTCCAGAATGAGAAGTTCCTGATCTTCACAATTCATGCTCCGTATGCTAAAATTTCTGATGTAGAAATCGATTACGGTGATGACATCTTCATGTTTTCTGCACCACCATATTATCTCAGGTGATAGATCTTTTAGTAGCACGTAAAGTTTCTGGAAGGAGCATTGCAAGTTCTAGGCAATTATTTCAGGGTTCATCTACCACGTGAGGTTGAAGACGACAGTTCTGGTACAGCAAAGTATGATTCAACTCTTGGTTAGTTTTTAACTCTATCGTACGATCATCTAAACTTCTTGTATATATGCATATCAGGCGGATTTTTCTCATATGTTATCTAGGGGAGTTCACGGTATGCGTCCCAAAAAGACACGTGGGTGAGAATTTCCCACGTCTGGATATGATCACAGAGCTTCTCAACCCACAAAAGAAGTTGACAGCTAAGCAGTTAGTCGAAGAAATAGGAGACAATGAGGACAGTGAAGGTGCGCAATTGGTCTTGGATAATTTTGGTTGTAATCTATGCTCATATTTTTATGAATTCGTATGGCTTTCGTAATTTCTTTGCCCAATTCAAGTTGAAGACGAGGACGATAGCCGATATTTTGTTGAGCAAAAAATCACGGATATGAGGTTGGAATTGAGCGAAGACTGTGTGGATGTTTGTGGTTATGGATTTGCATGGCGTCGTAAGGGAATCCTGGGTAAGTGTTTTGGACAGCGGATAAGATCGTTTCTGTGTGCTGGTTAAGCGTAAGCATTCTTTATTATGCAGTCACTTCTTATTTACTGCCCATCGGTGGTGATCGAACGCGCAGTTACGTTTTCCGGGGATAATTGCGTGTTCAATCCCCACCGCTGATACCTCAGGTCCATAGTTTTGCAAACTCAGCGTTATTGTGGTTATATTCTTTATTATCTTTTTTAGTTACAACAACTTTGTTTCCATAGAGTTTCATCATTGTTGAAAGTGATTACTCATTCCAGATTACGGGTAAACTTTGGTTTTTTAATCTTGTATGAGATGTATATCCTTGATTATCTCAGAAACGTTACTGTCTGCTGATTTTTTTGAAGGGCAGCTAAGCAAGGAAGTTGGAGTCTTAGTAGAATTGAGCGATCCAGAACACTGTCCAATTTCCGAAAGGTCTATCAACTGTGCAGAGCATGACACCAAATCTTTTGATGCTGAACGCTATTTGTAAGTCTTAATGTTGATGTGGTTTATTGGCAAGTAAAGAAGTCCTCCTATTATTTTAGGTTAGATTTTCTGGATCCAGAGGAATGTTTACAGCAATCGATAAATGCGAAATTAGATTTGAAGCTGGAGATCGATGAGGACGACAGAAAGCGCTTGAAAGATTTTCCTAGGAAAAAATTGCCAAAGTGGGTTCAGGATCTTCGTTTTAAATCTTATTCTAAATAACTTTTTTAGGTTATCAAAAGAGGAACATTATAAAGTGGCTCTCTCTCTTATTGATATTGTGTTTGCATTTGCTTATGATATGAGAATAAATGACTGGGAAATATCTTGTGAATCTGGATGGAACATCGTAAAACTCGCACCTAGTCTAAATTTCCTGTGTCAGTGGAAAAGCGCTAAAGAAGTAGGTATTTTCACTGGATCGTTTTTCTTGGTTTTTCCAATACGCTTCTACTTTAGGCTGTTATCGCAAGTGTTCGGCGTTCACTTTGCTGTCCGCTGTATAGGAATTGGGATTTGTCGCTGAAAGTTCTTATGGATGTGAAGGATATCATACAAAAAGGTATACTGTGAATTCGTGGCTAAAAGTTCTATTTGGCTTTATATTTAGACTCTTGCTTTTAATTGCAGTATAAGTTCTAATAAAAATAGTCAACACGGTTGAGAGAAAGGCGAAACGAAGGGCCCGCGTAGTGTGGTCGTGAACGCGTTAGCCTCCGGAAAGGGTAGTAACGTGTTCCATTTTCACCCCAGTCACCTTGGGTTCGGAGTTTTGCAATTATCTAAGCATCGTTGTCGTTATATTTCACATAATACCCTACCATTAAAAGAAAACTAGGTGGCAAATAAAAAGTGACTACTGTTACTTCTTTTATCCTGATAACGGTTTAGGTCGGTCGGCTGTTTTGCATATATTGAGCAAGATTCATGGAGTTTTAATCAACTCCGGAGGATTCCGCTACCTGTTTAATGATCTTTTTATAACTGACTACTGTATTTGGATACAATTCATTGATGAGTCTATTTTGGAAGCGTTGCAAAATGACCTAGCTGGAGTTGAGGTTGGTAATTTCGCCCACTTTATTCCTGGCAGTTTTTATCCTTTCCTTTTTAAATTTTATTTCCGCCATTTTAGATTTGTAAAAGCGATTTGAGATTAGATTTGGAGGAGTTGGAGCTAGAAGGCAGGATGGCAGCACTAGAAGTGAAACAGCATGTGGGGCTAGACAGCGATGATGAGCCGGAATAGTAAATTTCCTTTTTGTTGTGGCTACGCACTAGTAGCTTTTATGCTCGATTGAATCGATTAGCAGGATGTTATCCTTCTGTATATAGCACTTATTAAGCTCAAACCACTTCGTAGATATTTGTCTTCGTATTTGTAAGTAAAGGAGCGCGTGTAGCGCAGTGACCGGAGGCGCCCTGCTGTACACATCGAGATCGATCTCTGCTGCTCAGGCACACCATGGCCTCCATGCCTCCAGGGTCCGCAGATTGGTGCCAGGCTTGCTTGAAAGATTAGCAGCACTGGCTCATTATATTGGTAAGCTACCGCGAGTCACTGTAAAGACCACATGTGCATCCAGTCAACTCCAACGATGCTACGAATGAAGTCGAATGCATGGCGCATTCTTCAGGGATTGATCAACGCCAAGAGCTTTTTTATCATTTTATTTTTAGATACAGCACAGACTATTAATGTGAGATCTTATTTTGGAGTACACAGTTGTTAACACTTGACTTGTCACATATTCTAACTTCTAAGACTTTTTCCATAAGCATAGCTTCGTAATGTGAATTTCTTACTCCGTTCGTCAGAAAGACGTTCGTTTAAGGAGACTTTTCTATTTTTTTATTCTTGCTCATTTTTTCGTTTCCCTTTTTCAGGAATTCTAACTGTGATGTGAAATCAATTTTTATTTTCTTAACAACCTTTCCCCACAAATCTTTTTCCCACTGTAGTTTTTGATCCCATTCCATTGTAAGAAGTTTTTCCTCATTTTTTCCTACTTGTGTTCATGCTAGTGATGTTGTAAAGCAGTTTGTTTAACTTCTTTTTGGTTAAGCTTCTTTCTACTTTGTTTCTATTTGGAATAAGAAAACTTTTATGCTTTAGTAATTAACTTATGGGCGTACCATCACTTAGTTATTTAGAGATGTTCATTTCCTCTTAGTTTGCTTCCTTATAAAGCTGAAATGAAGAACTGAAGGACTGAATGTCGAAAAATTTGTACAAACAATATGTTCGATTAGTAACAAGGTGGCCCAAGGATGAATTCAAAGGAACAGAGCGGTAAAACCTCTTTACTTTTATGTTTTCAATAAGAAACCTTTTTGAATTCAGAGATTTGGCATCATTTTTGAACCAAGAGGTGGAGCGGCAGTTCAAGTTTGAAATGACTGCTTCCGACTTGCGCTTATGTGAAAGACGATATCGAGGTAAGTTTTTCCATCTGTACTATCACAATATAAATAGGATGTGAATAGCACGAGTAAGTGTCGCGAGCGGTGAGACGTTTTAGCCGTTTTAACGCTGAAACACGGGCATCGTGTAACGCTGTGGTCAGAGGCGCTCTGTAATGCATGTAATACACGAGGGATAGATCCTCGCGCCTAAGGCTCACCAAGCCTTTCACCCGTTCGTGGGTCGGCAAATTTGTACCGGACTTGTTTGGGAGGATAGCAGCGCTGACTCGCTCAGCGATTTATCAAAGCCGAGAGCTTTATTTACTTGTCCTTTTATGGGTTAGATTCGTTGGTTATGCTTACCATGTAATAGGGAATGCTTTTTGTCAAAACATCTTATACGCCTATTCCAGCTCTTGAACAAATTGACGCCAACGACACTGCGCAGTTTTATCCGCACCAGTATAGGTCTGGCATTTTTGGTCTCACTCTGGAACAGTTGCAGGTACCTAACATTACAGCTTAATGAAACTTTTCTATTCAAAGTTGTGCTATAAAGAACTTGACCTTTCGGCTTAAAAATAAATATCCGCTTATTTTAAATCAAATGTTCACTTCCCGAAGAAAAACTGGGTGACTAATCAGGTGGGAAAGTCGTATGATTGTAGAAATTTGAAGTGAAGATGGGTTTTATTTCCAAATTTTTTCGTTTTTCGCACTTTTCATATCTCCTGATGTTCTTGGTTACTCTTATTCTGACGAGTTTTTTAAAAGTAGTTTCTGATACTGTGATGTTTATGGTGCTAAAACCATTAGAAATGTTGTTCCTATATTACATTAAGTATAACTTCAGTTGTTTATGCTGCTTGGTGTAAAGGAACATATATGTACTTGAACCATTTCACCAAATTAAGTGAAGATTTTCTTCTATTTTATCTTTCTTCCTCTCTCGAAACTTTCTTTTGTAGATCCTTTTCATTTTCTCTTAGTTTTTTTTTTTTACTAAATCATCTCCTTTATCGTTGTCTTCGTTTTTTGCACATTTTATTGTATTACAGGAAGCAAACACGGACGATAATCGCAAGCGTTTTGGGCTTGGACGTGAAGGATTTTTAAAGAGGATCTGGAAAACTGTGCTTTCATTTAGGTCTAAAAATTAACACTCGCGGAACGACACGACCTTAGTAGGAGTTATACATCGCGAAAATACTACGATACGACACGCTACCAACAAATTAAACTAGAAGGAGTTCGTCTAGCAGGACCAGATAGTGGTCTCTAATAAACCGTTGATTTTTGCAGCTACCTTGCTTGTGTGGGAAATTTTAAACATTTAGGTTTCATCCTCCATTCTTTTACAGTTTTAATTTCCAACAAATTTCAATTTAAAACAATCCTTTAAAAAATTATTTACACACTTAAAACGATATAGTGAAGTTTCTTCTCGACCTTCGGAAACTCCTCAACTCCTTCACTACTTTGTTTTTAGAGGAATTATTGTTTCTCGAAAAACCAGCTTCGTCTCATAAGGATTGATATGGAACCAGTTCATAGTAAACTTCATTATGAAAATGATGTGTTACTTAGTCTCCCTCTTAATTATGTTCCTTATGTGAAGGAACTCTATGGTGGCATGAAATATGAAACTTAGTCCTTCGATATTCTTATCAGGTAGTCGATTAGTGCAATACTTTACTCCTATTCATTCTCCTCTAATATTAGAACATCACGACCTCATTATTAATTTCTATAGTGTTTTTTCACGATGACGTTCAACTATGACAAATGTTTTCCATTCCAATGAAGTTATTCCGTCATTTGAATAGCCCTACATTGAAAACAGCTATTTTAATTTCAACATAGTACATTGGAAATAACTGTGTTTATCCTGATACAGTATATGAAAAGTGACACAATTTTGTCTTTATGTTTTATACTCTTCTATTATCTTTATTTTATTTATTTGTTCTTATTTTTAAAAATTTCTATTTTCACGCCGTTTATGGTATTTTCATCACTGATCCCTATCTAGACGTCATCTCACGTTCAGCTTATTTACCAGTGCCAATTTTATTTTCTTAGAGCAGTTTGGCTTTCTACTTAGTTTTTGAACTATTGGCCGACTAATTACACAGTTCACCATAGCTGTCTTTTGGTCAGGTAGTCGCAGTGCCCACTCCCGCAGTGGAATTAACATGATTGTAAAGTGAGGTTTAAATGTACTACTTAAACGTTGTAGTTTCGACTACAGCCTCAGCTTAACTGGGTCCAATGTCGATTTGTGCGCCACAGATCATTTCTCCGTGTGATTGCTAATGGCACCGTTAGGGTAGAAAACTGGCCGAAAGAAAGGCAAAGCAATAGTCTCGGCGGTGCAGTGGGTAATACGTGAACCCATGTAGAACGTAACCCAGGTTCGAATCTGATCGGGAGTTTCAAGTTCTGAAAATACCTTAGCATTATTGTAAATGCAACACTGCAAAGGTAATAATGTCGGGAGCTGCCGTATTTAGTTATGTTGACAATGAGATTAGCAGTCGAGAGTGTTCAGAAAGTGCGACGTTCAATATTAACGAGTACCTCCCACGACAGACTTTCTATTAACCTCGGCATTGATCAAGTAATTCTTCGTATTCTTGTTGAGCAAACGCTAGGTGTTACTTTTATTCTTTATTCACGAATAAATTGACGTTTCGGCGGATTTCGCCTTCATCAGAGCCTGGAAAGGTCAAGTTGGCAGCGATCTATTCCGCCAAACACCTCCATAACCAAACAGAGAGAACAAATTCTGTTACTCTGCCAAGAGGAAAGTGATTTTCTGAAGCTCAAAGACATTTTTTTTACCTCTTTTTCTTCTTTTCGTCTACTATTCTATCACTTTAGAACTTATTGAACAGGCAGGATTTTACACAGTAGAACGCAATAAAGCATCCGAATGGATAGTTGATATTTATGATTGCTACCATTCGACTGAAAAACTTAAAGATTTAATATTTGTTTATATTGTTGAGCTTACATCAGGTTGATAAGAAATGTTTATTCGGCTGACGTCTCGACGTCTTCGTCTTCATCAGATCGGACATATCTTTGTCGATGATCCACAATTCTTCCTCTTCTCGACGTGGCGTCTTCGTCTCGCATCGAACCGGGTCTCCTTCAGTTGAGCATCTCGAATGAGCTGAACACACTCGAGACGCTCTTTTATGTAGAGCGGTTGTCGTTGATGTGATTATCAGTTGATGATAATTTGTTTTTGAACTGATAATCAACCCTGCAGCAGTTGGTATTTGTTACCTAGCACATAGCGAAGATTTAATTTCTATCTTCACTTGTTTCAAGACAATGAATTTTATAAACGTAAATAAACCTCTGACACGATGAAGCAAAATGTTATTCGTCCTATAATAACCCCCACTACCGGCTTTCTGTTACCCTCGGCATTGGTCGAACAACTTATATTTCTGTTTGGCTAACACGAGGTCTTATTTCACTTCTTTATTTACGTGCAAACTGACGTTTCGGCGGATTTTGCCTTTCTCAGAGCCTGAAAATGTCAAGTTGACAGCAATCTATTCGGGCAAACACCTCCATAACTAAACAGAAAATGCTGAACCAAGATTTCAATCACAGTGAGCACAGAATAGCTTCGTCGGATACTCACCGCTTTCTATGAGTCTTCCACTGAATATGTCACGTGGAGGCCGATTAGTCGGTAAACTTAGACCAAATACTCCAGTAGGCACGCATAGGACGCAGGAATATAACGGGAGGAATTTGAAATAGGGATTACGATCCTTTCACAGGAACCGAAAACACGAGCACGCAAAACTGGGAAGGCTTTCTGAATTAATTCAAAGAATCCGAAAATGAACCGCAGAGAAGAATGCCTCATTATCACGCGTGATATTAGGCAGTATATAAGACTTATTCTGGTGGGAGGGGCACATTACGCTTCCATGTGAATTCTGCGCGGTTGGTCTTCACGCGACATACTCAGTGGAAGCCTCATAGAAAGCGGTGAGTGTGCAAAGCTGTGTTCAATGTGATTGAAATCTTGGTTCAGCGTTTTCTTTGTTTGGTTCTGTGGAGGTGTTTGGCCGAATAGATTGCTGTCAACTTGACCTTCCCAGGCTCTGAGGAAGGCGAAATCCGCCGAAACGTCAGCTTGTGCGCAAATGAAATAACAACACCTCTTGTTCGTCAGTCTGTTAAGAAGCAAATTTTCAAAGTGTTCTAGTTATCGAAAAATTGTCGAAAAGCTGTCAGTGTTCAGGAAATGAACAGGAAAGAAGTCGGGGGCTCTATATACAAACGGTCAAAACTATATTTACAAAAGAAGGCTAAATGAAGCTGTCGGCGTTGATCAATCTCTAAGAGATGCGCCATGCATTCGAATTCATTAAGCATCGTTTGGGGGTGATTAAATGCATATTCCGCCTCTACAATGTATCACGGTGGCCTACCGTTGTATCGAACCAGTGTTGCTATTCTCCTAGACAAGCCTAGTACCAGTTTGCCGACCCCTGAAGGATGGAAGGTTTGGTGAGCCACGGGCGTGGAGATTGATCACAGGTGTGTTGCAGGGCTCCTCCGACTACTGCGCCACACGTGCACTTCAACTACAACAAATCCTCGGCACTATAGTGGTTAGTACCCGCGTCCGTATGCACAACTATATTATCTCCACAAATTTCCTGGTATACCAATGATTTCGTATTTCAGTAGCTAGCGAGATTCTTTTGAGTGATTCTTGAATGGTATTGGGGTGCAGTTCAATCTATTCGATCGATCTAGCGGACATGGATGGAAGTGATCATCTCTTTCATCTAAATCAATACTGTATTGAACGAGCAAGATGAAGAATTACAAATGTTGGCTTGCATGTATGCGCGTACAGGGACGACTGCGGCCAGCCATGAATGCCCGCCCAGTGAGCGATGTCATACCTAACTCCATGTTCGCTTCGGATTCCCTATCATACGGTATCGTCTGATGGTTATTGGCGATTTCTTATGCTGTCCGTGGCTCAGTAAGGAGAATGTCGTATGCTGTTCATCATCTAATCGAACTCTTGAGGAGCGTTGTGATGATGAGGTTTTACAGGCCAACAATGAATTCTTCCACGTAACCTGTGCCGAGAATGGTATGTTATCGTCGCTTTTTCGTATCCATATATTCTTGAGGATTGTGATTAGTAAGCGATTAGGGTTTCTTTTATAGTTCATTTATGTCCACCTAATATTCGATTTGAGAGGGAAGTAAATTTTTCTTTCTATGATTCGAAAGAATTGATGAGAATCTGTGGCGACAGTCTGAAATTCCCATGGCGCGCTTGCTTCAGGATTACAGAGAAGATGGAAAACAACTGAATATCAATAGTTTTGGGTTCGCCGGTGGGAATTTCTAGTTGAGGTGCCGTACACGAGGTGTGTTACTTTGTTTACATCTGATGTGAACATAGCGAAACACCTCAATTGAGTTCCGTTTTCTTCCCACTCAGTCTTC